ATGGTGATTTTTTGTTATTGACATGATAAATGTAAAGTTCAGAAAACTCTATATTTCTTTTCTGACCATTATTATTCATTTCATTTTATGGTTGTTACTGAAAGTTATCTTTCACCTAAAGGAGGGGTTGTTAACAAGTAATCCCATTTCGGAGTCAGATGCTCCAGGTCTTCTAGACTTTCGATGGGAGATTGGCCTCAGCTCGCCTCTTTGGGGAACTAAAGGGTGCATAGTTCCTGAGTTGGCCCCATCTTGAGACCAGGGTCTTCTGGTTGGAACACCCCAAATAGTCAGTCATTGCCCTTATAGAGGCAGCTCTCTGAAGAGGAGGCAGCTTGAGGTTAACAACCAGGGACAGGTGAGCTGGCAGGAAAAGGGGCCGGAGTAGCCATCAGCAGCCTGTGCCTGCTTTCCTTTGCAGACTCATTTGTCTCCTGCCTAGGCAAGCAGAGAGAAAGCTGCATTGAGTCACATAAAATCAAACCAACAAGTCCCTCCCTCATTTTACAACTGAGGAGCCTGACTTTGCAACAGATGAAGTGGGTTGTCCAGCCTTATCTAGGCAGTTCCAGGAGGGCTAAGGCTTGTACCCAAGCCTTCTGCCTCATCTAAGGGAGAAAAAGATTTCTTCAGACAACCTGAGAGATTCCCAGGGGAGATGAGCTTCCCGCATGGTGTCCTCCAAGGGGTTTGCGGGTGCAGCTGCTGCCGGGTGAGGGCCTGGTGTGTAATGACGAGGAGTTTGCGGGTGACAGCTGCAAGGGAAAGGCCTGGTACAGGAGGATGCTTTCCATACCTGGGCTTCTGCAAAGTGAGACAGCATTGAAGTGGAAATGTTACCACCTTCTTTTCTTGGGTTTGGACCACCCTCTCCCCTCCAACTATCTACATTTTTGCTGCTCAGAAGCATATGCTTGTGTTGCTTGTCTTTCTCTTGACTGCTGAATAAAAGGAGTGACCTCGAGTCCCCTGGCCGTGGTCTTGCCACCAGTGTGCTCTGTGGAACGCGGAAGGCAGCCCTTCCTCCCCTGGAGAACTAGGCTTTCCTCTCCTGCTCTTAGGTAGCAGTTTCCAAAGGAAAGTCAGGGCATTTGTTTTGTTAGTATCCCACCTGGATTTAATAATTAATGTCTTAATAATTTTAATGGACTTGTCTTTAACATAATTACTTTAGCTATACCCAGGGATGTGTTTTTCTAAATCACAAATAAGTAGATGCATAGCTATTAAATTTTAAAAAATTATCCACGTTCCATCTAAAGTCGCCTTATATGCAAACATGAAATTGAAAGAGTGAGACTCCATTGAATTCAAGCAAGAAACAACTTTTTCTCCCTTGAACTGTAGATATGCTTTCCTGACACTTGATACAAGTTTGGGCAAGTCCTGTAGCTCACAAGTAACTGACTTTTTGTTCCAAGAGCAATCCAACTGCAATAATTAAAGTACCCACTCCAGTTTCATGGAACTACAGTTCCATTTAATAGTGGAAACAACATCATTTCAAGTTCAGCTCCTCCATCCACTTCTAAGTGCTGCTTTCCCTGAGGAGCCTAGAGTGGAGGTGAGACCCCAGCCTGCAGATCATCATCTTCCCCTCGTTATCTTCCCATCTCTCAGCTGCTTATAGTTCTTCTACAGACACAGGGAAGAGGGTGAGCCGAGAGGTGAGAAGGCCCTTATAGGAATAGAATTGGCACCATCTAGGATTAGTGCTTCCTGGATGGGTGGCTGGCACTGAACCTGTCCTCTGGCTGTGGGTCTTTAGGTCCCGCTCCTCCATAAACCACTCACCTGCAGTGTTTTGTTCCCTTATCACAGGCAGTGCCACCTCAGGCTGGCTGCCTGGCTCCCTCTTCAGGCTGGTCTCCTCAGCCACACTCCGGTGGTCCTCCCAGCAGGACCCAGTTGAGCCTGTGCAGTCCACACCTGCACCAAGGAAACAAGCACCCATTCCTTTGAGGAACTCTGGGAGCTCTGCCTCCCTGGAAGCAGGCCCTACCTCGGGGCATCTTCCCACCACAGTCCAGCCATAGTTATTTCAAATCTTGAGTGCGTAGCCAATCTGCATGCCCCAGCAATTAGCAGGGAGGCGGGTGAAGCTCTCCAAGTGATCCTGGAGGCCCTTCCTATATGGTTAGGTAGATAAGGGAACCCAGCCAGCAGCTCCCCAAGGATGAACTTCCTTCTCCCTTCTGAAGGGGTGGGAGAGGCAGGCTACTCACTTTGGAAGGTACGTGGTACCCGTTGTTTGGTTGCTTCCTCTGAGGCCTCACGTTAATTGGTGGGAGATGCCCATATTCATGCCCATTCTGCCCTCCACCGAATGACCATGATGCTCTGCTGAGGCGGGCCCAGCCCCAGCAATCCTAGTCCTTCCCTGGAGACTCATAGGGTGGCCCTGAGGAGTGACGTTTGCCTTTCGATAGCATCTGATTGCCAGGCACTGGCCAAAGCCCAGCGGGATAGCACCTCCATGTTTTTAGGTATGGATGAGACAGATTCTCGGGTCACATCCATTCATCCCACAATTCACTGACCCCAGGGGTTGTATTGTATAAAAATGCAACTTCAGTTTTGCCAAGGCAGCCTGTAGGTTCTCTTACCTTCCATTGTGACACCTTTCTATTTGTCACTGAATAGCCTGTTTTCTGTGATTACTACCTAGATGGGCCTGGTATCAAAGCTCCCAAAGGGGTCTGCTGGCACATTTGGGCAGCAGTGGCCTCTCATCAAGCCTCAGTCTGTCTTCTGAGGGCAATAGCAGAGCTGACGGATTTGATCGCTGCAGGCCCATGGCAGTCAGAGCAGAGAAAGTGGCATCATTCTCCATAACTGGCTGCATTTGCCTTGGGAGTGAGCGGGGTGGGGAAGAGAAGCCAGCTTTACAAGTTGAAGACCTTTTGCCCTTCTCAAAGCAGAAAAGAGGTCATGTCAAATGGCATCTTGTCTTCAGAGACTGGCTGACGGGACCCCAGGGTCCTTTCAGAGGCATTCTTTAAATAGCAGAAAGCTCTAGTGCTCAGGCAGAGAAAACCAGAACCCAGAAGTGCTGGGGAGATGGAGAAGCACTAACCCACCAGCCAGTTCACAGGGAAGATCTTGAAGGAATGTGGGCACTGGTTCAAGTTGGGCAGGGAGGTAAAGGCTCCAGCCCTCTTGGGACTCATTTCTAACTTGTCCCATTTTATCGTTTGGGGACAATGTTGCCACCATATATTTTGAAGTAAGTATATAGGTAAGCATCTTTTACATATATTTCTTTATTCAGTTCTAGTATGAAAGGTATCTAATGTAACTAAGAAGTGATATTATTCCTGACTTATAAATTCATCAAGTTACAAAATAGGGCTGATTGCTCTTTCTTCACTGCCCACTTAGCCTCAGAAGTCTCCCATTTTCTTTCTTTAGGCCAAAGACCATAATTCTCACCTAACCAGATAATAAAGAACAATAAGCATATTATTCCCTTTCACTTGCTTCCCATCCATTATTTGTTCTCTTCCTAAAGCTCCAAAGGTGGGTAGGTTCTAGAACCACTCATTCATCCCACACTTGTGCAGCCTATCCACCCATTGCCATAGATGAGTTGTCATTTATACTGGTTGCGGTCTTGTTAAGAATAAGTGTGGAGCTCAGTTCAGCAAAAGGAAGCAGATTCCCTTATCTTTATTGCCCATGGACCCATTGGAGACAAAAGAGTGAGCTTCCCATATTATTCCCACTGTAGTTATTAAGCACTAAATAAGGGTTTGGGGAGGAGGGGTTAGAGGTGGACAGGTTTTGAGAATGTTTGCTTCTTGGAGTCTTCTAAATCCCTAGGAGCCTCAATGGGACACAACAAAGACCCTATCCCCCCCACACACACACCCCCACCCCCCCACACACACACCTTTACCTTGGGAGGTTGCTTGAAATAAAAGAGCCAAGGACTGCAAAGACTTTAAATTATTCCATAATGTAAATTGTTCCTGCTTCACTGCTGAAATTGACAGAGATTTGCATTTTAGAACTTTATTTCTCATCTCGGAATAGGAGAATTTTTCACCCTTTTTGAAATGTATGCAGCCTTCAGGAGCAGACAGATGAAGATGATTTATTTTTTACTCCTTTTTTTCCTCCCTCCCTTCGTTAAACCTCTCCACTTCTAAGAGAGAACCTTTGACTTTGTGACTATGTTAAAAGGAAATTGAATCAACTATGAATATAGCCTTTAAGGTTTGTACTCTTTTTTATTTTGATTCAAATACATCCTTGGGATAAGTTAAGTCATGGACCTTTACCTCATTTGTTGGGAGTGGGTTTTGCTGGTGAATAATTTGGCTCCTGAAACGAGGTGGGCCCTGTCCGGGTGGCTCAGTTGGTTGGAGCATCTTCCCATGCACCGAAAGGTTGTGAGTTTGTTTCCCAGTCAGGGCATGTACCTAGGTTGCAACCAATTGATGTTTCTCTCTTGCTCTCTCTCTCTTCCTCTCTCTCTAAAAATCAATTATAATAATAATAAAGATAAAATATCCTTGGGTGAGGATTGAAGAAAAAAAAAGAAAAGAAAAGAAACCAGGTGGGAAGCTGAATAGAACCATGGTGGGAGTTTGCATGGAGCAGCCCATGCCTGAGACCCATCATTTCCATGGCCCCCTAAATGGTTTGTGGTTTTTGTGGTCTCTCTGTTTCCTCACCCAGCCGCAGTGTGTACTGAGCACCTGCTCCTTGTCAGGCCTCTGAAGGCCCTGAACCTACAGTGTCCTGCCCTTGAGAAGTGTGGCCACAATGCAGTGCAGTGCAGTCCAGGACAAGCAGGATGATACCATTAAAGGATAAAATGAGGCATATGAATTAGGGGTTTACTTGAGCAAAAATCAATTCCAGTCAGTTGGCACAAAACTGGAAGTGGTTAGGAACCAAGAATAGACTTATAGAAAGTGCTGAAGCAAAGAAAGTATTAACAACATTGAGGTTCTTGGGTTCCCTAAGATAGAAATCAAGAGAAAACCCCAGAGAAATTTCCAGACAGATTTTATTAAGCTTGTGTTCGAGTACAAGGGAAGCAGCACCCAGGAAAGGAAGAGCCTCTGAATTGTCTCCAGGGCCTGCTTTGCTCGGCTGCTTCTGCAAGCTGGGGACAAAGTGGGCTTGCAGCTAACAGCAGGCTGTTTTTAAAAGGTGGGCTTGTGGAATTTTCCATTTCAGAGTCAGGTGACTTTCTTTTCCAGCTGTGTTGCCTGGCAATTACTATTTCTCACCTCTGTGTGGGCAAGATAGCTCACTACCACCAGCCCAGGAGGGTCTGATAGCCATCAAACTTTGATAACTACCTGTGTTGGTCAGTGGTTTTCAATATCTGCAAGGAAGCAGGCAGTTAGATAAAATCAGCCACCACAGTGTTTTGAGTAGGGAGTGGTAGGGTGGTGACTTCTTGGAGCCAGCTTATCTGCCTTTCTTTCTGGTCACCTGGTCTTCCTTGGCTTCCTGGCCACTTGGTGTTTTTCCATTCCCAGCCCCAGGTCCCTCTGCTATCTCATAGGAATATTACTTGACTGACTGTAGCTCAAAACCTAGTTTGCTATTTGTGACTGGTTGTCCTAAGCATTTCAACTTTGTAACTTGAGGCATACACATATCACAGAGGACATTAGCAGCTAACTTCACCTGGTCAACCCAGGGAATGCCAACTTGTAAAAGAAGGAGGAAAGAAGCGCATACATGGCGGAGACAGTGGCTGGCCAGGGCAGGAGTGGTGTGAGAGTGGGGAATGAGTGGAGGTAGAGGAGAAGAAGGAATAGAGTTGACCCTTGAACAACACAGGTTTGGACTGCGTGTGTCCACTTACACGTGAACTTTTTTCAATAAATACCTGTACTTTTTTATTCCTTAATCCTCATCCAAGGATATGTTTTACTGATTTTAGAGAGACGAGGAGAAAGAGAAACATCATTGTGTGTGAGAAACATCGATCCATTGCTTTCCATACACACCTCCACCTAGGATCAAACCCGCAACCTAAGCTGTGCCCGACTGGGAATCAAACCAGCAGCCTTTCGGTGCGTGGGACAATTCTCCAATCGACTGAGCCATACCATCCAGGGCACCTGTACTATTTTTGATCCACAATTGGGAGTCATGGATGCGGAGGGCTGACTGTGCATTGTCCCGCACCATTTTATAGGGAACTTGAGCCTCCTTGGATTTTGGTGTCTGCGTGGGTCCTGGAACCAATCCCCCGCAGATACCTAGGGGCAGCTAAGTTTCTGAGGACTCAAAAGTTATGCGCAGATTTTTCCTGTGCAAGGGGCACCCCTAATCTCTGCATTGTTCAGGGGTCACCTGTAGTAGGAGATAAAGCTGGAGAGCTTCTAGAAGCCCAGGTCATGCAGGCTCCTGTATGCACAGCTGCGTCCCTAGTCTTTCAGTGCCAGGAGGAGCCTTTAAAGACTTCCTATGGGGGAACTGAACCTTCAGTTTGGGCAACTAGTGGCACTGAGGAGGGTGGGTTGAAGGGGTGAAAATTCAGAAACAGTGTCTTAGCCAAGGGCCTTTAGGAAGCAGGCTCTGAGGCAAAGAGTCAAACATGACTAGTTATTAGGGAAGGAGGTGCATGCAAGGCCAGGCAGTAAGGCTGAAGGAAGAGGGAAGGGACCAGGAGAAGTGCAAGATAGCGTGAAAGGGCATGTGACCATGCTGGGCCTGCTCACAGGAGCCCACGGACACAGCGTGGGCACTGGGCCCTCTGGACCCCCTGGCAGGTAGTGAGAGGACTCTCCCTCAGCACACCTTGGCACACTTCTGCTGTAGCAGAGAGAAAAGAGGGCACTCTTATGGCCCTGCTCCCTTCTGTTTCTTGCTTCTCATTGGCCCTGGTTCACCTCAGAAGAATCTGGAGCCCCTGTACTGCTGGGTGCTTTTTAGGAATGGGGACCTCATTTCCCCATCCCATGGAGTAGCTTCTTCCCAGCCTGACATGGAGGGCAGCCCAGCTTGTGTGACACCATGTGAGAAGGAGAAAGAAGAGCAGGCAGTCAGGGGATGAGACAGTACATACATTGTGTTGCCATTCAGATAAAGAGCTCTGCTCAGAAATATGACAGAACAGGAAGGGACAGACGACCAGAGTGAATAAAGGAGGCTGGTCGTAGAGAAAGATTTACAAGATCTTCACTCATGAGTGAACAGGCCAACCCCAGCCTTTCAAGTAGTTACATCACAGCAGTAGATGGTAAAGAGCTTCAGTGGCTAGGTTGGGGCAAGGCATACTCAATGGTGTTGTGTTTCTTCAAACATGATTCATCCTTATATGTTTGTAAAACCATGCATGGAGTGGACCAACTTCTGCATGTGTGGGGGGAATGTGGAAGCTACTACTTTAAAAATGATTTAAAGTTTACGATGGTCAGAATAAAGGATTAGATGAAAGAATTCGATCACAAGTGTCAGGAGTCTTCCTGCCAAAATGACAAAACCCAGTTTCACTAGCAGGGGCCTGAGCGGGATGAGCTGCCTCCGAGAACCCAGGGGAGAGCAGGGGCGCAGCGGGATGGAGAAGTTACTGGCACTGTGGGCCAAGGCTGCCAGGATTCGAGCTCCCTCACCTATGGCCTGTCTGTGTAGGGACTTCTGTTTTCTCTGGCTGTAGTCTGACCCCATGCAGCAGGACCCAGCGGGTTCATTCAGCAGCCTGGTTTGGAGCTCACTGTTTTGTCCCTGCGGAGGGATTGCTCTTCCACATCCATCCAGCTCTTCCTGGAGGGATTGCCCACCGGCTTAGCATGCACCAGGTGCTCTTCACGGACAGCCAACTCTGTGCAGGGCTGCACACTTAGTGGAGGAGGGGGAAAGTGGGTCCAAGATGTGTATGTCTGTAGTGGTTGCTGGGGAGAAAAATGCATAGTACCCACTGCAACCAAAAGCTCAGAATACTGCCATTTGCCAAAAATCACTCCTGCACCCTAATTCCCCAGCAAGAGCAAAGGGCTCCTGGTCCTCGGGCTCTGCCCTTTCCCCTCCCCCTACTGCAGAATCACATGCTTGTTGTGTTGGATGGAATCGTTTTTCCAGAAGCTCTCTGTTCTGGCTCTGAAAAATCTCACTACCAGCTCTACAGAAGGCCCTGCCCGCAGCTGTATCCCCGCAGCTAAGACTCCCTGCAAACCCCACTCTCTTTCCCTCGCAGCGAGGTGACTTAAATTTTAATCTGTTTGGTAGGTTATTTCTGATGGGAATTTAAATTGAACTGGAGACTGTGAGCAAGATGGGGCTGCTAGCTGCTGAGCTGGGACCTTCTGGAACATTTCTCACGGCCTGAGATGGGGGTGGCGTGCTGAGCTGTCATATGCAGTGCCAGGCCCCGTATCTCAGCAAATTTGTAGCTAATCTTCCTTGACCTTGGTCTTTTATGTCAGGGAGGGGAGACTTCTAGTCTTGGATCATCAGGACACCTACTTCCATAAGGGAGGGGAGGGGTGTGCGGCCCTCCCCCTGCATCCCCACCTCCCACTTTGGGCCTTCTCACGGGAAGGGCAGGCAGGGCTATGCTTAATAAGAAACCTTAGCACCCGTTTCTTAAACACAAAAGATAGCAGTATTCCTTAAAGAGAGATGCATAGGGATCCTCGAACGTCTCTGTGGCAGGGGCTGAGCCTGCCATGTGATAGCAAAGGTGCAGGCTTTGAAGTGATACATATTACTTTCTCTTCTTTCTTGATTGCATATATTTTGCTGTTCTCTCTTACTATGAAATGTATTAACTATAGTAAAAATACCCACCACCCAGATTTGCAGATGTTCATATTTTTGCAGTATTTTTCTTTAACAGAAGAGTGACATATTACAAATACCATTAAAACTCCATCTACCCTGCCCCCAAACTCTCCCTCCCTCCCTCTTCAGTAATTACTATCCAATTTTGGGATCTTTCATCCCCATGCCTGGTTTTGTACTTGATTATAAATGTCCATATGTAAAAATATTATCTATACACACTACATTGAATACTATTGCTTCATATGGTTAAAAAAAAAAAGGCATTTAGCCATACAAATTCTTTTGCAATCAGTCCCAGTGCTGCCGCTTACTTGTAGGAACCATGCACGAGTTGTGCCACATTGAGCCACACACAGATGTGTTAAGATGCTGGTTGTATAAATCTTGACACAGTCCAGGTGAGTGAGGATCAAGAACTAAAGAGAAGGCGAAGACTTTGATATTATGGAGGCAGAATCAACAGCTTTGAGGCTGATTTGTTGTGGAATGACGGGTGATTTTTTAAAAATATACCTTATTGATTTTTTACAGAGGAAGGGAGAGAGATAGAGAGTCAGAAACATCGATCAGCTGCCTCTTGCACCCCCCCCACTCAGGATGTGCCCGCAACCATAGTACATGCCCTTGACCAGAATCAAACCGGGGCGGGACCTTTCAGTCCGCAGGCCGACACTCTATCCACTGAGCCAAACCGGTTTCGGATGACTGGTGATGCTTGTATGGGTAGCTGACTGGGAGAGTAATGTCAGTCAGAGACCAGGAGCATGGTAGGGCAGTGATGCCACCCTGGGATACTGGGCTGTGATGGAGTCCTTTCCCACCTGTGGGGTTGGAAGTGTCTGCAGCACACTCAGGTTCAGGAGGCAGCTGGGTTTGGGGACCTGAAGCTCAGGCAGCCATTCTGAGCTAGAGATTCCCTTTTAGGTTCCTTTAGCCTCCAGTGAATGTGAACCTTGCAGGGGGGGAGGGGTTGCTCAGTGTGGGTGGCTCCCAAGTCACCTTTACCTGGAACCTATCGATATAACATGATTCATGCTTGCCAGTCTCTACAGAACTCTGACAGGTGGCAACAGGAGACCTGGTGGGATCACCCAGAGGCCAATCAATTTCAAAGATTGGAGTTATGTTTGAAACATATTTTTCCTTCTGATAACCTATGTGACTTCCTTGATCATGAAATTACTTGTTCTCGTGTTAATAAGCTCATAAACTTCATTATCTCCTACATTGCTTCTTGTATTTGCCTGAACTTGTCCCCTTGTTGCACTTCAAGGAGTCCTGCGTTGCTGGCTTACCTGGTATCCTAGCATTCCCTTCCCTCCCTTCCCAGGTATTTTTTATTGTTCTCTCTTATCCTAGAATCCTAGTCTCGAGTCTGTCTGCAGCAGATGTTTCTCCCTAGGACAGGAGCCAGGGGACCACTCACGTGCTCCTTGTCACTCACTGCCAACCTGGTTCAGGGCCTTTGCTTCCACTAGTTAGCAGCTGGTTTTCACGTGGAAATGTCTCCCTTTGCTTGAAGGAAAGATGCCTGCCCCTGCCCTTGACCCTGCCCGGGTCCCTGCCAAAAGCCCAATAAAATGTCTGGCAGCCTCCTTCTGGATAATAGGAATCGACCTAGTAGTGTGAGGTTTGGGCAACTGCTGTCACTGTAAAGGCCCAGAAAGACCTGGGGAACTGAGGCCAGGGAGTCACTGTGGATGGGACGGGACCCAGGAGCAGCTCTGCGCCCTGGTTTTCTCTCTTCTGTCTCTGCTTTCTTTCCTCTCTCCTCTCTCTCTGCATCTCCCATCTTCCTCCTTTCTCTTTTCTTCTTCCTCTTCCTCCTCCTTCCTCCTCCTCCTCTGCCCAGCCCTCTCCTGCCTCTCTGCCTCACCGTTGCTAGGTGATATCTAAGGCTCGGTCACTTTCTTTCTCCCTCTTCCCTCCGTTCTCTCAGCTCTTCCCCCCAAAACTGGCAGCTGGCCTATAACGGTATCTGAACTTACCGTATTTTCCAGCGTGTAAGACGACCGGGCGTATAAGACAACCCCCTAATTTTACAGTTTATACGCCGGAAAATACGGTACCTCTGGCCTATAGTTGCCCCCGCTCCAACACTGAATGACCTTTTTGCTCGAAAGCCCAGGGCCATCCTGCGGTAATCTCTCTGGGAACAGGCTTCAGCTCCTGGGAGAGGGCCGCTGGCTTAGCTCCTCTTCCTGAGCTGGACACACTGTCCCGGCTGCTGGCCAGCGAGGAATTGGTCCCCCGCGGGCCAGCTGCAGCCTGGCCGGTGAGCAGTGGCAGGAGTGAGGGTGGGGATGGAGTTCCTGAGAAAGGGTTGGTGGGGGTACAACTAGCCCAAGAACTATGTCAGAGAACCCTTCAAATGAACTTATATTTCACCAGGGTGGTGACCCTAAATTTGGCTCAAGCTCTGGCTGGGAAGTCACTGTTTATAAACTGTTTGCAGTCACTTTTGCACTAATTCAAAGGTATACATCTTTGAAGTAATGAATTTACCATCTCCCAGCCACAACAAACATGCATGAAATTAAGCTTTCAGCCCAAGTGTTTGTTGTATCCACAGGTTAGGGTGTGGCGATGGGCTTGGCTGACTCCGAACAGTCAGCCTGGAGAACGTGACCTATGCTTTTCGGTTATGAAGTCTTTAATAGTGATTTGAAACATGTACCCCCAATGTTGAGAGTCCTTTGTAATATTTGTCACCAGGATAGTGAATGGCAGAGGGCTCCTGATGTCACGAGGAGCTTCCCATGTCGTTGGAATGAGGACCCAGCCTCCGGGGCAGCGGAGAAGGGCTGTGTGCGCTGATTCACACACCTATATTCCCTGCCATCCTAAGTCACAAAACTGGCAATGACTGCATTTGCCTGGAGTGTCTGAGGACAGGCTCAGACACAGAAACCTTGTCCCACTCACATAAAATTGGAAAGCATTACAGAGCGGAATCTTCCAAATTTCAAAAAAAAAAAAAAAAAAGCAGCCCACAAACCCAGCTTATGCAACTTAGTCCCACAGAAACGTGCGGAGGAGGGAAGTGTGCTTGTTTCCGCTTTGCAGGTGGTTTGGATTTGTTCTGACAATGTGCCTCAAAATTCAGTCCAGATAAGAGGTTTGGTTTTGTTGCTAATAAAAGTAAAACTACTCTCGGATGACTACGGCTTACAGTCAGTCTATTTTTCACTTTTGTCTACCTGGACAGTCTTCTCTCTCCAGCTGCCAAGTCAATCACCATGGATTCTGGGAAACTCTCTCCTCGTGATGCAAATTAGGTGGGATCCTGTTCTGACAACATGAGTTAATCATCACTAGAACTATTGGCAGGAGCTGGGGATTGTTTGTACTCCTCGGGGACAGCTTAGTGTCTCTGGATAAATAAATATTCAAGTCCAACCTTGCCTTCCCCAATCTCCTCGCCCATGGCAGACCAGCTGGAAGCAAAGTGTTGGGTCCCCTGGTAATTTACCAAACAAGGATGATACTCCCAAACATTTGACCTTAGCTAGCATTGGTATTCAATAATACGCCACTGTATAATACATTTCTTTTTGCAAAATTGTACAAAAATGTCGTATGACCATTTTTACCCTCAAAATCCAGTCAGATTACTTGTGAAAGAAATTTAGGAGTTGGGCTGTAACGTTTCTGCAGAGTTCACGTTAGGAACTCCCATGTCTGAGTCCCCAGCTTTGAGACAGGTGGCTATAAGGACACATGCATTCTTCTTGTGTCCCCTCTACAGAATAAGAAGATCTACCTGGACATTATTCACACATACATGGAAGTGCATGCCACCGTTTATGGCTCCAGCACGAAGAATATTCCCAGTTATGTGAAAAACCACGGTATCCTCAGTGGGCGGGATCTGCAGTTTCTTCTCCGAGAAACCAAGGTGAGTTTCTGGTAGTTTGGTAAGAATACATCAGTGATGTTTTCAGGTTTGTTTCAGCTGGTGTTAAAAATGGGATCAGAATCTCTCTCATGCTTCTTTTTCAAAGCTACAGTAGTTGTTTAGGTTATTTTGGGGCAGTGAGAAGTCAGTGAATTGTGGAAGGAGGCTGCCACAGTGTAAAACTTACTCACTGAGGACCTGCTCTGGACCAGGCATCCCATGAGGGGCCAGGGTCGGGGGCAGAGTTTCACATGGGACAGAGGCTTTCACAGCAAGCTTGGGTGCTTAACTGCCCCACCTCCCCATCATCACGGTTCACGGGATTGGTCTCCATCCAACTTTTCCGCTCATGTCCTCGCTTGGGCTGCACACTAAAGGAGTTCAGACAAGGGAAATACCTTCAGGCTCAAGGAGTGGGGAAGTCCTGAGAGATATGAGATGAGAAATGAGGGGTGTGGATGCTCCTGGCCTGGGGACAGAGCAGTGAGAGCCAGGTGCTAGAGATGGAGATGATACATTCAGGAGAGAGCCGGAATCCAACCCGGCTAGTCTAACTAGTGTTGGGAAGTAGTAGATGAACTCTGATAAGGGGCCAAGGGGCTGGCTGGTTGTCAGGGACAGAGACAGCCTTCAGACCACATGGTGCAGGGAGCAAGGAGCCCAAGATGGATGATGAATATGTTGTTTTGACAACAACACAGGGAAGTCTGCCATGAGGTACCAAGTGAAATCAGGGGACTTATGAATAGACCAGAGTTTGGTTTTGAAGGGGTGGTAGAGTATTAGGTAAGCTCTCATGTTTATTGTTAAGCTTTCTTTTACGAATATTACAGATGTAGACTGAGCAGTTCTGTGGGCCAGGCACTGTGCAAGGAATACAGGGTGAGGGGAACAAGCAAACCGTTGCTCAGTGTTTTCTAAAAGACGAGCAGCTCATTCTCCTAGTGAATGTTTCGGCTCTGGCCCCTGACAGAACGTGTTCTCATCCTCAAAGCAAGGGAGGGAGGCTGAGTGCATGAACTTCTGTGGCCTAATAGGGCTTTATGCTCACTGTGGGATACTTTGATTTTGGAAAGCACTGGTATATTCACATGTGCTGTCCTGTTTAATCCTCACAACAGCCCCCAGGTAGGCAGGGCAGGTAGTATTGTTAATTTTATTCTCAACACGAGGAAGCAGACTGGAGAGCTGGGCTTGCCCACAGTCCCTGAGGTCGCCTGGAAGGTGGCTATAAAGGGTGACTTTTTGTTGTAAATTAAAGCTCTGCTGGCCCTTGACACACCATCCTCACGAATAAGCACTCAAACATTTAATCGATACTCTCCAGCCAAGAACTGCCTCAGTTTCTCCATATGTAAATGCATCTGACCATTTCTACCTCCAAGCCATTGTGGGATGCCTTGACTAAACCAGCTTGGTAAGTTATTTATGTCCTTGGCTGAAGGTGTGGTTGTCTTAATGGGGACTTTCTTTCCTTACAAGGTCACCTGTAATCTGCAGCCTGGCAGCCGGGAAGGTACTGTGTCCCCAGCTCGCATTGTGTGCTTCCCATTCACCTTCTCTCCCAGGCAGTGTCTTAGACTCATTAGAATATGTGTGTCCTTTGGTGGCAATGCTGTTCTGCCATTTGCCTCATTTTACCTTTCCCCATGTAGATTGTGGGAAAAGCTCAGGCTCCTTTCAGATTGCCTTTGGCAGCACGGGTTTTCAGCAGTGTGACCTTGCTGTCTCATGCACTTCTATTAGCCCAGCCACCTGACTGTCTTACTCTGCCTTGCAGATTTCAAAGGAGCTCTTATTACCTATATCCATTTACCATCCGGAAATGAGAAATAGGCTGGGGCTGAGGTGCCCTCTGTCCAGGGAAGGAAAGGGCTGAGGCCTGGAAGTCCCAGGCCACCAGAGATTGCCTACCAATCAAGGGTTTCGGCTTCAATGTTGAGTGTGAGGGGTGTATATTTATCCCTGAAAAATTGTTCCTTCAGAGGATGTCACTGGCCCCATTTGGTACTGCCTGTTCAGCTATCTAGAATATATTAACGTATTTCAAGTAGAATTATGGCTAAAACAGTTGGCAAATATGATGGAAATGAGGCAGTGTACTGCCAAGACCCCCGCCCCCACCCCTTACTCCAGAACATAGCAGCAGGCACTAAAATGAATGAATCTTAAGCTTTGAAATAATGACACTGAGGATCAGTCAGGCTTTGCATATATAACCCTCTCTGCCTCTTATTCCTTTCTGTGTGTCTCGGAGCAATTTAAAGGCAATTTATTACAACCCACATGGAGGCGAGACTGGAGATGCAGAGGAGCAAATGCATGTGGGATGAGTGGCTTTTAGGCTCCTTTATGGGAGAGGGGAGCGAGCCTGGCACTCCTCGAGGTATAGAGACAGACCGAAATGATTGATGCTTAATCAGCTTCTGGCTCATTCTTTTTCTTTATGAGCCATCTTCGAATCTGCACCAAGCCCGGGAAACCGTCCGCTCAGCAGAATTTGGTCCTGGACTGCCGTTAGGGCCAGGTGTCATTAGCAGGCGCCAGCTGCACGGTGCCTACAAAGACAGGAGGAATTCAGTGGCATTGACATCAGGCTGAGAGAGCTGGAAAGTCCTGGACTTATAGGCATATTCATTTGGATGGAGTCATTGTTTGTCAAGGGAGCAGACAAGTCATGGAATCCTGCAGACCCCAGGAGTACAGGTTAAGCCAGAAAAATCTACACATTTTCACTTTGGTTTAAGTCCCCATCTCTTTTTATGTGATTTCTTCCTTTCCTTCCTAATGTTAATCTCTTCATGTCCACTTCCCCTGGTCTCCCCATGGAAGCTCCTTGTACAACGGGTGCTTCTCATCCTACAATGGATGGAAGAGCATTTAGAGGGAGCCAGAACACATATCTCCCCCCCTTTTTTATTGTATTTTATTTTTATTGGCATTATTACAGATGTCTTCCACCCCCAACCCCCCTTTGCCCACCTCCACCCAGAATCCTCCCTTCCCTCCCTCTGCCCCTAACCACACGGTTGTCTGTGTCTATGGGTTATGCATATATGTTCTTTGGCTAATCCCTTCGCCTTCTTTCATCCTATCTTCCCCACTTTCTCCCCTCTGACTTCTGTCAGTTTGTTCCATGTATACATTCCTCTGTTTCTATTTTGTTTGTCAGTTTATTTTGTTCATCAGATTCCACATGTAAGTGAGATCATATGGTATCTATCATTCTCTGTCTGGCTTATTTCACTTAACATAATGTTCTCCAGGTCCATCCAAGCTCACATACCTCCCTTTCTACAGCAAAAGTTTGAGAACCAATTCTGGCTGTGGGAAACCAGGCAGAAGCCACTGCTACTCACACTGTTGCTGCACCTCCTCTCTCCAAACCTCTGCTTGTTCCCCTCTAACCCCTGTGGGTCACAGTTTCTATGTCCTCACCATGTCAGCTGGCAGTGTACCTGTGGGGCTCACCTAGAAGCTTGGGCAGGGTTGGAAGATACTGTCCCTATCCCTTTCCATCCTCCTTTCTGACACTCCCCTGGTCCCCAATCAGCCACGGCTCTTCCCTCGAGCTTGGAGTCCTCTGAGCTGGGTATCATTGGAACTCATCTTCATGTGCCTTTCTCAGAAACCAAGGGCTGAGACAGGCACTGCTATGGAACCCAACCCTGTGGCTCATGTGGCAGAGGGCTTTGCTTGTTCTGTTTGCAGGTAGTTCTCATGCCTACAATAGTGCCTGGCTTGTAGAAGGCCTTCAGATCATTGAGAATGAAGGAAGAAGTCAAGTTGAAATCTATTTGCCACCTGGGACCTTGTGGTCATGCCCTCTAGGAGTGACTTCTTGTTTTTCTCATAAATCACTCCCCTGGGACTCCAGGATCTCTTCAGCAAGGGGCACTTTCCTTCTGATGCCCTGACCTGCCCCTTCATGGCCCTGTGAGATAGCCCATGAGCTTACTTACTAATGGAGAAGTCCACCCTCCAGTTCTGTTTCAGATACAGACACATTTGCCCTCAAGCAAGCAGTTTTCATCCTGGTGACCAGCACCTAAGTTACTCTGTGTCTATGGGTTATGCATATATGTTTCCATAGATGGAAAAAAGTTGCACACGTATATTTCTCTCACTCTTCCCTCCCACATATGTGTGTAGAATGAAGAGTGTGTAGAGATATGATTCAGTGACCTCTCTGACTTCCAGAACAAAAGCATATCCCCACATGAGACATCCAGCATCTCCTCGCAGACACACTTGATTGCTGGAAAAAGCTAACCTATTAGTATGTATTCCTTTGCTCATTTATCTGCAAAATGAGTATTAAGAACTGGATATGTGCCAGGAATTACTTTAGGCAATTTTGATGTAGAGATGACTAAGGCAGTTTTGCCCACAACAAATATTAAGGTGTTGGGGAGGAGACCAACAGGTAACTATAGTAAAAGGTGAAGAAGTATACAGGTAGGAGTAGAAATAATATAAAATAATGACATCACAATACACCCTTCTGTGGTGCTGTGAGCAGGGTCAGCCATTCAGTTTTGTGAAGTGTTGCCCTGTGACTGGTGAAGCTGATGAAACATGGGGTGAGGCTGCTATGGAGTCCATCTCAGGCACTTTTCACACACTTAGCATATTCATCTCATCACTCTGCTCTCGACTGCAGGGTTTTACTACAATGACAGCCATTTTCTCTAACCCTTACCTTTGCTGAGCTCTTCTGGGAGTCATCTCTTTGTCTCAAGAGTCCTCTGATCTGGGTACCACTGGAACCCATCCTAATGTGCTGGCGACAAGGCTGTTGAGTGCCTCGCTGGTGTGGAATTCGGGTGAGGCGGGCTGGTCAGGGGCTATTCCTCTGAGGACAGCTGAGCTGCCTTTTGCTGGGAAACCTTGCATCCTGGCAAGGTGGAGATGGTCAGCATCTCAGTTTTAAATTAATCCAGATACCCTCTTACTCCACCTTTTCCATCTACAATGCAAACTGATTCCATTCGGTTCTGGACTGGACCTTCCAGATGATTGAAGCGAAGGGAGTTTGAGTTCTGATGTTTGTGTTTCACTTTGTTTCTGAAAGGCCACTAAGGTAACTGAGCAGACTTTGGGAGTCGAGTCAGTAATCTGGTCTCCAGGAAGTAGTCTTGGGTTTAGCAGCAACTTTGGGCCCTAAAACACGCTTGTCTTTGTCTCCTGGCCCCTTTGGCTCTGTGCAAGAGAATTTTCAGGTAGTGTCAGGGACTTGGGGAAGCCATGAGATGGTGTAGCCAAACCCATATGGGTGAGAATTTGACTGCTATTGTCTCTCCTCGGCATTTGGGTGCCAAAGGGAAGACAGATGGCCAGAGAAGAGACCCCAGTGGATACTTGAAATTGTCTCGATACCTAGAGAAGAGACCCCACTGGATACTTGAAATTGTCTCGATACCTAGTCATTATATGAATTTCCCACAGTTACAGAACCCGGGATATGATGGAGTTAAGATGTGAACCCTGGTCTCTCGGGTCCCAGAGTCTGTGCTGCCAACTACTGCATTGTCCTGATCGTTTTGTGCCAGTAATTAATTTAATGGATAAGCTGAGGATCATTCACTGCTTAGACTTCCTCCTGAGCCACCTACCAACTTGCCTAATTAAAACTAGTCAGAAAAGTGTATGTTCATGGTATGTTTCTTATTTTGTATTACCTTGGCTATTCCTCATCAAAAGTGACTAGAAACTGACCAAACCCGTGAGGTCTTTCTGGGAAACTACTTGGTCCACGATTAAGGGATTCTTTGTGAAGGACTCCCCTGAGCAGGTGGAAACAGTTCCGTGTCTCCTTTCACAAAGAGCAAGCATCTGAGTGGCTTCCCTGAAACTGTGGGTGCACAGGGGTGCCCTAGTCTTGTGCCATGAATAAGACATATGGTGCATCATCTGTTCCCTCTTGCTTAATATTATTTGGGAAATTTAACTTTAGAGCATGTAATCCCTCTGTTTGGAAATGCTCATTGACGGAGCCAGAGTTGGAGCCCTGGAGCTCTTCTGTCATCTGGAATATCCTCGTTAGATTCTGGGCTTCTGTTGGCCAGATGAGGGTACATAAAACACCCAGTTTGCTCCTGAACAGAGAAGCCTCTGCACTTGAGTGCATTCTTGTAGTGTATCTCTTTCCCCCGTGCTGAGGAGATCTGAAAGCGGGCAGAATGCCAGGGACAGAGGGGGTCCAGGTGAAGGTAACACAGCGTGGTTAAGGAACCAGTGTGTGTGTGACAAAGTCGTACACATTCAGTTTACAGAACACCCTTGTAATGATGAACTGTCTCTGCCCTACCCTGTCGTCATTCAGACCGGAAGCATGCTATTGGATCTCAATACGTCTGTCCATCAGAATGTCACAGGAGATCAGTGCACAGGAAACAAGAAAAATGTTGCTTTGGACAGAACAAAAAATTGTTTTGCATTTCCAAATGTGTTTCCTGCATTTCTAACTATTGCGGATGAGGAAACATTGCCAAGAAACTGTGTGGTATTTGCTTAAGCTTCATTCTAAAATGCTGAAGCTTTGGAGAGTTAGCCTGGAGTGTTTGCTTCGTGTGCACTGAGGTATTCCAGTGCCAGCAGGGCAGAAGGGATGGTGCAAATTGTTATTCAGATATAATTAAACCTGGGTCACATTCAAGCCCATTAAGCAAGAGCCTCAAATCCTTTTAATTAATGGGTTCAGATTGGTTGGCCTGAAGGAGCTAATTAAATTTTTCCAGGATTTTCTATTTAGATAGACAAGTATTGTGCTTCCCATATTTTCTCCAAAGTTGTTTGCAGTTTGGAGTTGATGACGGGGCCGGCCCTCTATGGTAGACCTGGTTCAGGAAATGCCGAGTTCCGGGCTCAGATTAAACCCACCTGCATGGAACTTTCATCTTCCAGCACCTTTCTTCTCCAGCCTCGGAGCTGGAAGCTCTCGGCCAGATAGAGGTCATCTTTCCCCTGGACAGCTGATATCTCCTCCCCGAATCACATGGAGAGGGCAGGCCACAGAAATCAAGGCCTCAAGCATGGTAACCCTGGGTTCTTCATATTTAACAGAGTTGAGGTGTCTTAGGCCTAAAACTTCTCCATTTTCTTCCATTTCTCCTGCTGCTATTAGGCATGCACATACTCTAGCCTAGGGGTGTCGAACTCAATCAGAGAAGGGGCCAAAATCTAAAATCCAGCCTAAATCACGGGCCGAATGGTTTACTGAACAGTCATAAACTGTCATTGTGATGGAAACGCAGCGGAGTGCAGTGATGACAGCGCGGTGCGGGCCACATTGCAAGGCCTGGCGGGACGGATTTGGCCCGCGGGCCTTGTGTTTGACACATGTGCACTAGCCACACCCTGTACACAGAAATCCTCTCCGATAAATCTCACTTCGCTAGCGACAGAATGAGAATAAGATCCAGAAAAGGGGCTTCCAGTGGCAGAGGAGCACCTGATATCCTGCAGCTGCAGGCGCCTGCATCCATCTTCCCCCCACCCCCAGTGGTTCTGCCTGAGAGATAGGACCCAGCCTACTGGCTTCTTAAAACCTCCTTTCTCTTTCACACTCCCCACCCCTGTGCCTTCATGGATGTTTCTGACAGTATAGCCAGTCTTCTCAAGGTTTGAAGGAAATGAGAGGTTATTCCTTCAAACAACGAAATGATTAAGTGCCCTGCTTTGTGCAAAAGAACATAATAGTTATAGGATGGGGGGATCTTTCCTGAGCTGAGAAGTAGAGATTTTAGTTTCTTGCCACGGAAAAATCCCTGTGGTGCTACATGACTCTCCAGTTTGGGGAGCCTGGGCCATGCTCAGTGTTCAGCCCTGGAGTTGCATGCCCACCACATACATTCTGTGTCTTCCGGCATTGCCCAGGGCACCCGGTAGCCTGAACTCAGGGCTCTCTAGGCAGAACCGTTCTAAATAACTGTTCAATGAAAGCAGCTGCCATGGAAGGATGGCTGGGAAAGGAGAATCCAGCCCTGTCAGTTCTGCAGCATCTTCCCTTCCCTCTCGGTCCTGGCGGCATACGTGTCCTCAGTGTGATAGCAGGAGACGATGCCCTGGGGCCCCATTGTCCTTTGTCCCTTGCTGTCCTCTGGAGACAGTGACTACAGAACTGGTTCTTGGTGTGGGTAGGGAGAGCACACAGGTCACCAAGCCCAGACTTGGACCTGCCTGGCAGTCACTGCAGCTCTGCGGTCCTGGGAAATACCCCATTGCCATAAAGCGCAGGGAGGCATTTCTGTGAGTTGTTTCATTTCTGCATCCAGGAGTCAGCACCCAGACCTGCAAGTCCCTTTTGTCACCCTCTCTCAGCTGAGGTTGCTGCATGGACACAGAAGGTGTGTTTTTGCTGCCATCTATGGTCTGCTGTGGGAAGCATGCAGTTTCCTTGCTGGATATGGAAGCAGCCTTGTCCGGTTAACAGCTTGGCACCCTCTCCACATGAGAAAATAAAAACCAAGATGTTGGTGTCCCGATGTGAAAACCCCATTATGAAAACCTGTGTTTACTGACTTGTCCTCATTTTAAAGCAGCTCCATTTGAACTGTAATCAAACTAGCGAGTGACCTTGCTGTCCCCCTGCCCAGGGGCCCTGAAAGGGCCTGTTGTTCCTTTAGCTCAGTGAAGAAACCTTCTGTTTAGTTAAGCAAGTAAGTGTTTTTCCAATCATGCCTGCTGGTGAGTTACAGAACGATTATTGTTGGGTCTTGTTTTTGTTTTTTTGTTTTTTAATGCCTCCATTTTCCTACCCCCTCAACTGCCTGTCCCAATGCTTCTTTACTTTTTTAGCAAAGGAAACTATGAGGACCCACACAGCTCAGGAGCCCAGAATGTGCCTGGTACTGCTGTCAACTGACCTCCCTTCGCCCCGTCTCCCAAGGCCTGGGAGTCTTCCAGACTTTGTGGGGCCTCCTCACAAGACTAGAGCACAGAATAACCCTTCTGGGGCAGGGACACCAGTTCTGATTGCTGTGTTTATATGTGGTGTGCTTTTGTGTCTTACAGTTGTTTGTGGGCCTTGGGTTCCCCTATGAGGGCCCAGCTCCCCTGGAGGCCATCGCAAATGGATGTGCTTTTCTGAATCCCAAGTTCAACCCACCCAAAAGCAGCAAAAACACAGACTTTTTCATTGGCAAGCCAACTTTGAGAGAGGTAAGCATCTCTTACAATCTTTCTACTGTTACTAACATGGTAATAGCTATGTGTTGAGTACTAAGCCCATGAAAGCTCGCAGCCTTGGATGGTAGGTGCTACCAACTTCATTGAACATAGGAGGGTGGAAGGAGGGAGTCGAGGGGCTCAGAGATGAAGCACATGATGGCATCCCATAGCTAGGTGGTGGCACAGCCAGGATTTGAATCCATTTCTGCTCCTCCATAAAGTGGATTTTTTCTCATTCCTCCCCAACTCTATCTTAATGCAGATACCTCCAGCTGAATGAGCTGAACTCTGATTTTCTGAGTGGTTTATTATGAAATAAGGAAGTCAGCTGGTTAGCAGGTATTTTTGACGGACCTACTCTCTAGTGAGCTGTGAGGAATAAAAAGTGGGCTGCAGATCCTTGAAAAACCTTCAGCCTTGAGAAATAGGATGCATCTGGGTGACCAAAGTGATGTATCTGGTGTGTTAACCCACCATCAGCAGGTGCCACCCTGAGAAGCAGTCCAGCCATTGCCCCAGCTGTTTGCAGAAGCTTTATTCACAGGTGGGGAAAGACTGATAAGGCCTGCAAAATCATTTGGTCTGACTGCCAAGGCATCAGAAGTGAGTTAATTAAATGTTTAACCAAATATAGCAGGCTAATTTTTAAGTTGGTAATTCTGTATGGCCTGAGAATGATGTTATAAAAATCCAAATGGCCCTTGGCAGAGAAAAGGTTCCCCACCCTTGCTTTATTATAAGTGCCTTCAGAGATCCTCTTGAAAATCCACAGTGGGTGATGAGTCACCATTGGAGGCAGTCAGGTTTTATTTGGGGCAATAAACAGAAGTCTTATAGACTATGTGAGTGACTAAGCTGGGTGTTGATGCAACTGGTTCTAAACAGGTGTGTGCAAGAAACCATGGGATTGATTTTCTATTATTCTGATGTAATCCGTAAGTGGCCATGTGGACTGCTGGCGAGGAGGAAACCTGAGCATTGGTGTCACTGCTGTGTCCTTGTCCTTTAGGGCCTTCTCCTAGGATAATCTGCTGGGCAGCGCTCCCTTGACATAGCAGCAAATCACAGCACTGCTAAAGCATTCAGTGTGCAATGCTGCCACTTCTGAACATTTCTGGGTCAATTCTTCCGACCCCCAATACTACTTAAAATGCATTTTTCATGATTCTGTAATGATCAGCGATCTTACCAGTTCACGGAGTTGATTATTTTGATAATTCTTTCTTCTGACCCACGAAATCATTGCTGAAATGCCAAAGGAGATGAAGGAAGAGCAACAAGATCTGAATATTATCCTAAAAAAGATGAACCTGTGGCCCAGATAACCTAGGACAAGGCCTCGGTGTGTTTGTGTGTGTGTGTGCTTGCTTTCTTTTTCCTTCTGCTAGTTCAGTACATTTGAGTCATTCGTTCTGGGGATTGGTTTCTTTTTGGAAGGTCATTCCTCAGCAACACTCACGCACACCTGTGTGCCAGGTGCTGTGGGAATGCAGTCTTTGGAAAGGGTTGAAAAGATGCTCCCAAAGGTGAGAACATCTGGATTTAAGAGTCTCTGCTTTGGCATGTGACTCACTTCTTCAGAACTTTGGCATTTGGGGTAGAAAATAAGAGCTAATAAATGATCCCTATTTTTTTAATTTAGAAGAAGGAAATATCAGAAGTTATATTTCTGCCCATGTGTATAATTATTTGTTAAGTTTTAAAAATATTTTTGTGATAAAATATACATTTTAAAACTGACTCTTTTAAGATTTTGATGTGTACAATTCCCTGGCATTAAGTACATTCACAGTATTGTCCAACCATCACTACTCATTATTTCCAGACCTTACCGTCCCAAACAGGACCTTTGTTCCAATTAAGCAGTAGCTTCCTATTCTCCCCTCTGCACAGCCTCAGGTAAACTCTATTCCCTCTGTCTCTATAAACTGACATATTCTAGATACCGAATGTAAGAAGAATTATACAGTATTTGTCCTTCTGTGACTGGTACATGTCACTTAGCATAATGTTTTCAAGGTTTATTCATGTTGAAGCATGTGTCAGAATCACTTTTTTGTTGTTGTTCTTAATCCTTACCTGAGGATATTTTTTTGTAATTGATTTTTAGAGAGAATGGAAAGAAAGGGAAGAGACAGAGGGAGAAACATTAATTGGTTGCCTACTGCACTCACTGTAATTGGGGCCAGAGTTCAAGCCTACAACTGAGGTACTTGCCTTGACCAGAATTGAACCCACAATCCTTCAGTTCATGGGCCAACATTCTGACCACTGAGCCAAATCGGCGGGGGTGGAATCATTTCCTTTTAAGACTGACTAATATTCTATTGTAAGGTAATACCACACTTTATTTTCCCATTCTTGGGTTTTTTACTTTTTGTCTGTTGTGAACAACACTGCTCTGAACACTGCAAATACAAGTATTTGCTGGAGTCCTTGTTTTTACTTCTTTGGGGTGCATACCTACAAGTTGAATTGTTGGAATTTACCTTTTTCTTATTTTGAAGTAATTTTCGTTTTAATGAAAAGTTAGAAAAATTGCAGAGTTTGGCTTATATCCTTCATTTAGTTTCCTCTAATGGTAACACATTACAAAACCATTGTACAATTATCAAAACTAAGAAATTAACCTTGGGACCATAGCATTATCTAAACCACAAACTTTATATGGATTTCACCAGATTTTCCAGTAATATTCTTTCTGTGTTCCAGGATCTAATCCAGGATCTCACATTACATTTAACTGTCATGTCTCCTTAGCTCCCTCTATCTGTGATAGTGCTTCAGTCTTTCATTGCCATCTAGACCTTGACATTTTGGAGGAATATAAGTCAGGTTTTTGTAACTATCCCTCAGTTTGGATTTGGCTGATGTATTGTCATGATTAGTATAAGGGTTACACATATTTGCAATAATACCACAGAAGTGATTATGCCTTTTCTAGTGTATCAAATCAGGGTGCATCTTATCACAGTGATGCTAACCTTGATCACTTGGTTAAGGTAGTAACTATATCAAGTAGTAGTAACTATAAAGTTGTTGTTTGTCTTTAAATTGGGGAAATACTCTGAGACTGCAAGTATCTTGTTCTCCTACTTATCCTATATAATAAAAAGGCTAATATGCAAATCAACTGAACAGCAGAACGATTAGGCTCTATGATGTGCACTGACCACCAGAGGGCAGATACTCAGTGCAGGAGCTGCCCCCTGGTGGTCTGTGCACTCCTACAGGGGGAGCACCACGGCGGTGGCAGGAACCTCTTCTTCCTCTGCGGCAGTGCTAAGGATGTCCGACTGACGGCTTAGGCTTATCCCCCTGCGGTCCTAAGGCATCAGTTGGACATCCCCCAAGGGCTCCTGGACTGTAAGAGGGTGCAGGCTGAGCTGAGCGCCCCCCCCCCCCATGCACGAATTTCATGCACTGGGTCTTTAGTTTATTACAATTTATCTAAATTTTTTATGATCCTCACCCTAGGATACGGTTTTTCTGACTTTAGAGAGAGAGAGAGAGAGAGAGAGAGAGAAAGAGAGAGAGTGAGAGTGTTGAAAGGTTGCCTCCCATATATACCCTAACGAGAGATTAAACCCGATATGTGCTCTGACCGGGAACCAAACCCCCAACCTTTTGATGTACTGGACAATGCTCTAACCAACTGAGCCACCCAGCCAAGGCTTGCCCATTTATTTTTACCATGTATCAACTGTAGCAACTATTTTGCTTGTAGCAACTATTACTGTAGTGCTCTAATGGTGATTTTCTTTTCCCTCATGATTTCTTTTTAATGCATCAAAAGCAAAGAAACCCATTTCTTTTCTTATCGCAGTTTTCATAGAAAAGGCTTTGAGAAATGATTGATCTTAGACTGTGTTGACAAGTGGCACCTTTTTATTAGTGATAATTCTAAAGATTTTGATGCTACTTTGTTACAAATGAGTACTTTCCCCTGAAAACAAACAAACAAAAACAAATGCAGGACAATTAAATACAGTCTATTTTCCCCAGTGAATTATGTAATAGTCCAGAAACCAGATTAGCAGTATGAAGTTATTGAGAAAAGCATGTTCATTATTTTCTGTCAGGTGTCACCATTTAGTAATTTGCTTTTTGTTGAGATCATGGAGGGTTTCATTCTTCATTACTTAAACGGAGACAGGCCTTGGAGCTGTACCTAGATATTTGGTTCCCCTTGGCCTTTCAGAGATGAGACTGGTTATAATGGCTCTGTGGGACCTTTCAGTGGTCACTCAGCAGGTGACCTCACACTGGTGACTCCATTGGTCCTGGCTCTTAGGGAGGCCCAGATGCAGAAGGTCAGTGCACGGTGCCCTACAGGTACCAGTCACTGCATTTGTGGAATTTATTAAGACACATTTCCTGTTTTCTAGGAGCTCAGAATTTGATATGGAAGAGTGATAAGACAGATGCATAATCAACAGAAATGTATAAAAGTATAGTTAAGTCAGTAAAGGCGGGAAGCTCCCTTGGAGCTGTGCCAGGTGGAGGGTTAACTGAGGAGGGTAGGGGGAGCTGTGCTTTATAGGGGAAGAAGGAGAGTGGGGGATCAAGCCTCAGGGGCATGAATGCTGACACGTTGGAAGGAAACCCAAGGTCACTTTATTTTATGCAGAAAGGCAGTTTCCATCTGCCACCTAGTTCCTCCTGTTAGAGACTCTCAGCCCAGAGAGCAGACTGGAGCCAGCACTGTCACATGGTCTTGAGAGGAACCAGTGTGAACTTGACCTCATGGCCTGGCGGGCCACCTCACTCTGTCCCTTTCGCTCACAAAAGCCACAGAATTTCCCTAATCGAAGATGCTTTTAATTGGGAAACAGGTTATCAATAATTCTACAGATTTCTAAGGAGAAAAAAAATCCCTAGAAATTACCAAACCCCCACCCCCAAAGAAAATTTTTAACTGAGGTGTGTATAATTGCATAGCTATTTTTTGTGCCCATGCTAGTTTCAAGTTAAGCAACAATTGATCTACATAAATTACATATTTATTGTTTCTTTGCCTTCATTCGAAGAAAATAAAATGTCTAGATTCTTCTGTTTTTAGAAAACAAAAAAGCTTTGTCTTTATTTTTTGCATTGGACCAATTTTTAAAACCATATGTGCACTGAGGAGAAAAAGTTCCAAAATGTCAGAAATAATGTGGTCAGTTCAAGGTATACTTTAAATGTAGTATAAATTGGATTTTTATCTTTATATTGGGAAACATATTAGTAGGATCTCGATCATTTTTATGACATTTTGTAAACCATTAAGATTCTCTAGCTTCAGGGTGTGTTATTTTTCTTTATTTTTTGTGAGTTTTTTCCCCTCCCCTCATAAAGGGAACTCATGTCCTCCTTGGAGATTTAATAGCTGCTCTGAAGTAATGTCTCACATTTAATAACATTTTCATTACTTTTACAAACTGTACTCCAGTAAATTTACTGATTGATATACAAGGAAATAACTCAGATCAGACTGGTTCTCAATAAATTAACAAGAAGGAACATAACATTCATAGAGGGAATAATGAATCACAAAATGCCTTACTCTTAATATTAAGTAACCCTCAATAAATGTAAATGCATAAGATTATAATGGCTCTGCATTTTGTATTTTACAAGTACTTAGCACAGCCTTGTAAATAAGCGGGGCCAGCAAAGGGCAGGGAGAGAATGCTGAAGGGTGAGTGGCTAACTGGTGGCCCATGTGGCAGCCTTACCTCCCCTGCTTCCAGTGTAAGGATCCGTTTATGTAGTTGTTCTGGGCCACAAAATGAATATGGTGTGATATTATGCTCACTGTCAGAAAAGGTCTAATACAGATATAAACTCAGTCTGGGATTTTTTTTAGGTTGGCAAGTTTTAAGAGAGTGATTGAAAGACTGGATTTTGTCTTAAGAACCCAATAGCATCTTTTAATATTATCACTTTCCTTCCTGTGGAAAGTCAGTAAGTTGTTGAAGGGTCTAAATTTGAATTTGCTCAGCCACATTGTAGCTGCAGTTGTATCCGCCTCTAGACCTCAGAATCCTCCTGGATACACGGGAAACCTGAGAACTGATCCATGTCAAGCAGTGAGCACGGTGCCTGGCCCAGCCAGGCTTCATCCACATTGTACTAAACTACAGTATGTGCTGAAAGAGGCAAATGGTATTTCCATAGCTCCACGCCTGTGGCATTCTGTGGGTTCTACCCCTCACCAGGAATCTGAGCAGCAGAGGAGGGTTGGTGTTGTGGGGAGGGGAACTGAGCAAGGTAGCAAGGGGCTCAACTCCACAGAGGAGGTGAGTGAAGTCCAGAGCACCTGCACTGAGGGCACCAGGGAGGGCCTGGGGCTGAGACTCTGACTTGGCCACCCTGAGTAGCTCATGCACACCATCTGTGTGGCAGGACACAAATAATGGTGAGAGGCGCAGGTTCAGTCCTGTCCTCTGAGCATATGGGAGTCAGAACCAAAGAAGAGAGCCAGCATGGCCTCTAAGCAAGGGGCCAGTCATAATTCGATGCAAAAAAAAGACTTTCTTTCATGCCACTGAAGCAACATTTTACTGATGGCTTTTCGGTTTTCCATTTGTCTTTTCTTCTATTACTGTGGCACCCATTTTCCTTTTTTAAAAATCTTTCCCATTGCTTGTAAATGATCGGAAATTGTTTGTTGAGCAATGTTTAATCTTTTTGCAAGTTGTTTTTGAGTTTGACACGCATCTTCATCCAATAATGCTCGTAGTTGTTGGTCTTCAAACTTTTTTGGTTGAGCTGGGCGTTCTTTGTCTTTCACATAGAAATCATCACATTTAAAGCATTTAAAACATCATTCACAAGTATCTTGAGATGGACCATATTCACTATAAGCTTCCCGAAGTATATGATAACTTTTTCTTCAAAATAATGAATTAAAACTTCCCGCAACTGCTCTTTTTTTTTGCACCAAACTCGACATTTTTAAGTGTAAAAATATTTATGATGTTAACACCTTCAGAAAATTTGACATATGAAGTTTTGAAGCTGGCTGTCAATACAACAAAATAGCATACATAGCAAATTGCATATATCTCAACATATGTGTAACTCCATCTATTGAAAAAGCCCCACATTATTAACTGGTACACCTAGTATATTACAGCTGTGCCAGAGGGACTCTTTATTTGAATCCACAGGAAAAGCCTGCAGGGCAAGTGAGCGCTGTGCAGGGAGTGACCTCTGCCTTGCTCACAGCATCCTGGTCTCACCTTACCATTAAGGGTGGCACCCCCAGGCTTCGTGAGAACTGAAAATGCTCCCACAAATGCCCAGAATTCCCCCTTCACACCATAACCTTAAATGGAAACAGTAAAGCAGAAAACTCATTAGAGGGGTAAGTTTAGCTGTCTCGAAAATGGACTCTTTAAGATCTGAGAATGACCAGCGCTCATACTGGGTTTCTCTGGCCACCCTTTCTTCTCAAAACAAAGCCCTCTTTGGAGTAAACACTGGCCTTACCTTGCTTTTCTGAATCCACATTGTCTTCATAAAAATAGTCTTTATTGATATGCTAATGATTACTCCTGAAACCATCTCAAATCCCCTGATTTTCTGGTAGCATTAGTTCTGTCATCTCCTTCACTCATCTCCTGTGACTTTAAGGCCTTGTTGTAATTTTCCTGTGCTTACCTGTCTATCCTAACCTGTGTCTTTTAAGTCAGACAGGTTTGATCTGGGTGATTTTGGGGCTGCAATATGATGAAGGGTAGTAAACCTTCATTATTTCTTGGTGCAATATTGGGGGTTGAAGTCACTATGACATCCTCCATACCTCCTGCTTATGGCATGCCAGCTCTTCATTTCAAGTGGGATTCGAGATGCAGAGCCATCACTGGGTCTGCCACTCAGATCTCACCGCTTGTGGTAAGGCCATGGCCAACATGCCACCCATCCAGGGCCTCCAGCAGCCCCTCCAAAGTCCTGGGGTCCCATCTCAAAGGGTCCCTGGGCATCTGCCTTTTAAAGCATTCACATGAACCTGTTAGGCAGCCAGGCAGGCGCTCACTCAGTTCCCTTATCTGTACCTGTTAATGCCTTGCCTACACATCCAGATGGTTTTGGGTGGGCCCAAGAAATATCCCACTAGCTCAGTGGTTTATTGTTTATTAGGAGGTTCTGATGGCCCAGGAAGGGCAGAACAAGTATCTTGTTACTTGTGCAAGTGCAATTTGGTACCATAAAAAACCTAACACCTCACCTAGCACAGAAGGTTTTTTTTAAAGTGTGTGAGACTGAGGTTTTGTCTTTTCTTTTTTAGCTGACATCTCAGCATCCATATGCTGAAGTTTTCATCGGCCGGCCACACGTCTGGACTGTTGACCTTGACAATCAGAAAGAAGTGGAGGATGCAGTGAAAGCAATTCTAAGTCAGAAGGTTGTTTCTTTTATTTCATTCCTCCTCTGCTCCCCCACATTTGTAATGTGAACTGAAAATAGGCGCTTTGAGTAATGAGAACATTTCCGTATCAGCTTAACTCTGGAATCAGAAAATAGCCAAGCCATAGGACGTGGCCTGGGGACTTCATGGGTGTTCTGTGAAGTGGAAACAGAGCTGGTGTCCACATATGTATGGTTCTGCAAATCCTGTGACAGGATTTCTGGTCCCAGACACAGAAATAGGAGCTTGAATTATAGGACTTGCTTAGTGACCTAATTATGAAGCTCTCACAAAGACCCGAAAAAATAGACTTGCTCTTCTACAAAAACAGTGAGGGTAAGGAAATACTGGCACATGTTTTTGATATAGCATCTATTTATTTGGCTTTTCTACCTAAACATTTTCTAGAATTTTATAAAAGTAACTAACAACTCTGGACTCTCTTGATCAATTCAGCAGACATTTATTAAGTCCCTACTGCACACTCAGTGCCCTGTGAGCCACTCTAGGGGATGCCCGCTTCCATGAATATTGTTGAGGCTGGCTGCCTGCCTGTAGGAAGCTTCCACCACATAGGAAATAGTTAAGTTAGCTTCTCTCAGGATTATCTTGGACTCTGTCAGATGTACCCTTCCCCTGCACTCATCCTTTCAGAGCGCTTTTTCCTGTTGTAATTTTTAAAGAGAAGCTTTATGGGCATGGTTAAGAAAGACTGTAATCAGATAGCTGGGATTTGGGTCCCAGCTCTACCACATACAGCAGCATCCCCTCAGGCAGTTACTTAGCCTTCGAGTGTCAGTTTCTTTATCTTTGTTGTAGTTTGATATTATGTACTTTAGAGTACAGTTGTGAAGATTTAGTGAATATAAAGAGCTTAAGTGCAGTCTGCCACTTGGTATGCGGTTGGTTAATATTATTAACTCAATATTAGTATCTATACTAATAAGAGAGAAATATGGTAATTGACCATCACTCTGCATTGCCCACAGCCAATCAGGTGGATATGCAAATTAGCAGGACAAAGATGGCAGTGGCCATGGAGCCAGCTGGAGCAGGAAAGAAGCTTGGGTCGCCCCCAGCAATGGAGGAAGCCAAGCTTCCTGCCCACCTGGGCTGGCTGCCGAAGGAGGGGTCTGTGGGCAGCAGCCACAGAGCAGGCCAGAGCGAGCAGGAGGCTTGGGTCGCCCAGCTGGCTGGCTAGGGTGGGGCCTGGAAATGGCCCTCAGCCTGAAAATGGCCCTTAGCCCCTTACCCAGGCTGGCCACGCCCCCATGGGATGAGGGTCCCCACTGGGGGGCATGACCAGCATGCAAACAGCCATCAGCCCCTCACCCAGGCTGGCCAGGCACCCCAGCGGGGACCCCCACCCTGAAGGGGGTGTGGTCAGCCTGAAAACAGTCCTCAGCCTCTTACCCAGGCTGGCCATGCCCCCCAGTGAGGATCCTCACCCCATGGGGGTATGGCTGGTCTACAAACCCCCCTCCCCCCAGTGAGGACCCCCACCCCAACGGGAGCGTGCCTGGCCTGAAAATCACCCTTGCCTAGGCCGCCCTGCCTGGAAGGGAACCCCCACCCTGATCTGGGACACCCTTTAGTGCAAACCAGCCAGCTCCCACCCGTGCACTAGGCCTCTATCTATACTGATAAAAGAATAATATGCTAATTAGACTGGGAGGCCTTCCAGGAGACCTTCCGAATGTCTTTCTGGACAAAGCCATGAAGTAGAGGGGTTTAAGGGCCAAGAGGGGAGGGTGGTTGTGGATGATCAGGCTAGTCAGGGAGCTGTTGAGGGCGAACAGGCCAGTGGGGGGAAGGCAGTTGGGGTGAGCAGGCCAGCAAACAGAGTGGTTAGGGGCAGTCAGGCAGGAAGGCAAGTGAGCAGTTAGGAGCCAGCAGTCCCGGATTGTGAGAGGGATGTCTGACTGACAGTTTATAAGCCAGCAGTCGAACATCCCCCGAGGGGTCTGAGATTGGAGAGGGTGCAGGCTGGGCTGAGGGGAACCCCCCTCTCCATGTACAAATTTCATGCACCAGGCCACTAGTTACATATATAATAATATACTGTCCTTATCTTTGTCATTGATAGTCTGGATTTCCATTAGACTCTAAGAAACATGAAAGCAGTGACTATATCTGTCTCACTTTTATATTCTCAAAACCCAGCACAGTGATTTACCTGATGGATGGAGAGAGGGAGGAATAGATGTGTGCAGAATATGTTTGTGCCCAAAACAGTGTGTAAATGATTGAGGAGTGTAACTCAATATTAGTATCTATACTAATAAAGAGACTTCTGGAAAGTGCAGCACATTAAAAGCCTCAGCAGAAAGGCATGCCCATGGGGATGGAAGGGCTTCCTTCTTTCTTGAATCTCCAGGTAACTTAGTAAATTTGTTTTCTGGGATTGCCATACAAAGAACCACAAACCCAGTGACTTAAACCACAGAAATTTACTTCCTCACGATTTTAGAGGCTAGATATTGGCACGTCCACGGTCCCTTCAGAGCCCCAGTAGAGGACCCTTGCTTGTGTCTTCCACCTTCTGGTGGCTCAGGTGTTCCTTGACTTCAGCTGCCACACTTGAACCTCTATCTTAGTCATCACATGGCAGTCTCCCTGTGTGTGTGTGTGTGTGTCTTCTCTACTTTTTTTTTTTTTTTTTTTAATATATTTTATTGATTTTGTACAGAGAGGAAGGGAGAGAGATAGAGAGTCAGAAACATCGATGAGAGAGAGTCATCGATCAGCTGCCTCTTGCACACCCCCTACTGGGGATATGCCCGCAGCCAAGGTACATGCCCTTGACCGGAATCGAACCCGGTTCCTTTCAGTCCCCAAGCCGACGCTCTATCCATTGAGCCAAACTGGTCCTGGCAGCCAAACTGGTCCTGGCAACTTCTTAAAAGGACATCAGTCATATGGATTAGGGCCCATCAAATCCAGGTTTGACCTCAACTTGATTACATCTATAAAGACCCTGTTTCCAAATAAGATCACATTCATGGGTACTGGGAGGTAGGACTTCATTATATATTTTCAGGAACTCCATACAACCCACATACTTATTTAAGTGCATGTCTCCTTTAAGAGGAGTAATTTAAAAGATAATATAGAGGCAGAAAATCTTAGATCATGGAGTCCTTCTTTTGTCAAACAAAAGTCAAAGGGGAATGAATGTCTGCTACATAAGGCAGGAGGCATGGGTACTGAGTTCCATCTGCTCACTCCTACATGAGGCCAGTCCTGTTCACTCCATGAAACTTCAGTGTTCCATGTTATAGAACCCTGTTCAGCCTTTTTCATCTTATTCCAACCTATGTAGGCCACTTAAAAGGAAAACAAGTAATTATTGTATAATAGTAGCTGATACAGAGAGAACCTCTTTCTACACATGTAGAATCTTTCTGTATACCTTTATGAGCTTCATCCCATTCAATCCTTCTTCAGTTGAGAAGATTAAGATTTAAGGAAATCTTAATTTCTTTAAGATTAAGTAATTTACTCAAGATCACACAATTAGTAAGTAATAAAACCTGGATAGACCTCTAGGTCTTTTAGATTAGTTTGTTAAGATTTAAAACAAAAGTCATTTAATGAAGTACAATAAAGGGAAAAATAAGGTAGGAAAGAGAGATGAAGTAAGGAATGAGATTAATGCCTAAACTATTATCTTAGAAACCCTTCCACTTGTTAGAAATGGATCAGAAATCTGGTGCCAGGCCTTCTCATCTAGAAACTACAAGATTTAAAATTATATGACAATCAAAAAAGCAAGAAAACATGACCCATCATTAAAATAGGAAACATGAATAAAACCAGACCTAAAGATAGCCCAAGAGTTGGAATTATCATACACCCCTTTAAAATCCTAAGATCGGTACATTTAAAAGGCTTGATGAAAAAGGTGGACAGCATATATGAAGAGATGGGGAATTTCAGGAAGGAGCTGGAAACTTTTTAAAAGCCAAATGAGAAAATACTGGTACTGAAAACACAGATTCAGAAATGAATAACTCTTTCAGTGGGCTTATCATCGGACAGAGGAAAATATCAATGAACTTGAAGACTTATCAGTAGAAATTATCCAAGTTGAAACTCAGAGAGGAGAAGGAGGGGAGATAATGGAAAGTTCCCAAAGCCAGCAGGAACCACACCTTGTGGCCAGCAGACATTCTTCCTGTGGCCATATGAGTAACAGCCCTATTTCCACCAAACAGGATGACCAAGAACTTCTCCCACTCCTCCACAATGGCCCTACTTGGGTTTCTCTGTGACTGGATGTGATACCAGCATTCCCTTTCATTCCATCCCTCAAAGAGGCCTTGACTTGTCTCCAAAGGACTATCATGCACAAAACAGACTACCCCTCCCTCTTTCCCTCTCTCTCTCTCTCTCTCTCTCTCTCTCTCTCTCTCTCTCTCTCTCTCTCTCTCTCTCTCTCTCTCCCTCTCTCTCTCTCTCTCTCTCTCTCTCTCTCTCTCTCTCTCTCTCTCTCTCTCTCTCTCTCTCTCTCTCTCTCTCTCTTTCTCTCTCTCTCTCTGTCACACACACACACACACCTCTCCAACCTGCCTAGCAGCTTCTACATGGGAGATTTCCTAATGTTCTTCAGCCTTGAAACCAGGGTTCTGGAGAGCTTCACACACAGAGGCCCTGCTCCTGTCCACAGCAGGGTGGCTAGTGCACTCAGGGTGGCAGAGATGGCTTATAAATACAATTTCTTTTCTTTATAGTAAAATTATTTGGCTTTGAATCTTTTAAAACAGTGAATTGGACCACAAAGCAATGAGTCAGCCTACCTTTGATTATCTGAGTTTGGTTGCTAGGAGGACACAGGAAGAGCCATTTTTCTGTATTGCATCAAGCCCTTTGAATTAATTCACTTCCATTTATAGAACGTTTCTGGAATTATCCATTGGTTGAGTAAATGACCCTTAAAAAGAAAACGTTTGCATTTGGTATGAAGGGCTAGGTATTGCAATACATCTGGGTTTGAAAGGACACAGCAAGCACAAAAGCTTGAGATGAGAAGACACAAAGGAAATCAGTTTTTCAAAGTGTTTTGAACTCTTTGGAAATGAATTATCTTGGCACAGAATGATGTCTATTCTTGTAGAATAATCATGTCCTGATGTTATAATACTTAACGCTGAGCCTCTTTTAGTTCTCTCTGGATGGATGTGGGCAAGGATGGTGAGATACAACCTGTCTTGTGTGACATACCATCTAGTTGTGTTTTTTAAGATATGTCATGAAATTAACAATCATGGTTGAAGATTTCAAAAGTAGTGTGTAAATCAGCGCACTCACACAAAAGGAAGAAGATGCCTTGAGACCAACTGCTTATGTGCTCACAAAAGGCTGTCTTCTTGGTCAGTTGTCCCATTTTGAGCTGGCCTCAACTCATAGATGTTTTGTCCAGTTCCTCTACCCAGTAGACTCAAATAGGCAAGTATAGACTTAGACTTAAGAAGGCGATGGTGAAGCTGCCCTCTATTCCATTGTTGACAATGGTGTTGGTCTCTCTGAAGCTGTCACACACTAGATTGCTGATGGTTTTCTGCCAAGTGGAATTTCCTTTTCGGTTGGTGATGCTAGCTGGCTGCCCCTGGAAGCACAGGCTTCACAGTGTCGGCACAAGCACTGTGCAGCAGAGGCCACACTCACATTTTGTCCCCTTCCCACAGGTGTCACATGATTGATCAGACTGCCTCCTCCACCCCAACAAAGCCTCTCTATGTCTCTGGCTAACCTTAAAGTCTGGCTTGTTAGCCTAGAGATTACAAGGCTTTCATGGAAATCCAGTGAACCTCTTCCCAGCCTTGTCTCCAAACTCCATGATCCTGGGCTTGACCCTCCTGCTGTTTTCTTTGTTGTCTAATCTCAATTACTCACTATGATGAAGATATCTTCCACATCTTGTCCTGCTAGAATTATAGCTGATCTTAAAAGCCCAGCATGAGTTTAAGTCAGCGTCAGCCTTCCAGCCTCCCAGGACCCTCTATCAGGGGTCCTCAAACTTTTTAAAGTGGGGGCCAGATCACGGTCCCTCAGAGAGCTGGAGGGCCGGACTATATGAACTACTAATTCCTACTGTAACACCTCGGCTGCGCTCACTGCCCAAAAAAACTGACGGGCCGGATCAGACTCCTCTGCGGGCCGCATGTGGCCCCCGGGCCGTAGTTTGAAGACGCCTGCCTACGTGAACTCTTTGTGGCACTCTGGTTTTTCACCACATGTCAGTCTCATTACAAAAGTAGAACAATGCTTTTGTCACTGTGGTGGGGCTTTAAACCATAGGCCTTTCTCAGAGCAATGGGCATGCATTCATTCAGCAGATGTTTGAGTGCATGTTGAGTCCACACAGGTGCCACACTGCTCAGCACTGAGCAGCCATGGATGCTTCCTCAGGGGCTTACCTTCTAGAAGGGAATCTCCCCACCGTTTGCTGAATGCCTACTCAGTACTGGGCTCTGAACTAATGCTTTACTCCCTTCTCCCCCTATATAATCTTCACCACAGCTTCGAAGAGGTAAGTTTTTCTCATCACTGTTTATCACATGAAACCCGAGGCTCAGAGATGGAAGGTAATTGGCTCAGGGTCCCACAGTTAGTAAAGAGCAGAGAGTGTGTGAACCCAGGACTCTTGACTTCCAAGTTCATAGTCTAGCCCCTGACACAGGCATCGGCACTGAAGAGACTGCATGTTGCCTGTTCTGTGTCTCCCTCTTTTGTGATACCGTGTTCTGTGTCTGCAGATCGAGCCGTACATGCCGTATGAGTTCACGTGTGAGGGGGTGCTACAGAGAATCAACGCCTTCATTGAGAAGCAGGTGAGGCTCTCCGGAAGTCCGTGTGTCTCCATGTCCTGCTTCCCGTTACCCAGGAGGCCTCTCACGAATGGTTAAGGGTGCACCATGTTTCTGGGATCATTTCCCTGATTTGAAAGATTCCAGAGGCTGGATAATCGGTTTTTTGGAATACTGGAGCAGGCCCTATAGTGGTCACCCGAGAGTCAGTCTATCATTGGGGAAAAGAATGTTCTTTATGACAGTGGAGGTCAAATGAGAACTGAGAGAAGACACTGGATAGTCAAGATGAAAACCCGCTTGACCATCAGCCCAGCACCTGCCCACACTCCAAGAGGCGTCATAAAGACCTGGTGGGGAGGGGACAATAGACAGCTCTCTGGCCCTGCCTGTGGTCATTCCTTACCCTAAGAAAGGCAAGGATGGGACCCTGTGGTTCTAAGCATCCCTTTAATAAATGTCCTGTAATTCCAAATACATTAGGATTTCTCAGTGGTTTTCAAACATCTTTTAAAACAGGACCCCTTTTCAAGTGAAACTTTACACGAAACCTAAGTGATATAAAGCAGATAAAAGAAGAGCTCTCTGCACTGCAGGAGGGGTCGGGGAGGGTTCGTAAGTCCCACAACCCCATCAGAGTGTGGAAGCTGTGGCTCGTGCTCGTGGAAGTATAGGCCAAGCTTGTAATGGCCATCATTTATAACATTTTAATTCCTTAGGCTTCAAAAGCAGCATGGAGCTGAAAATAGACCGAGTCCCTGTGGGTAGCGGAGTATGAACTTCTTGACCAGAGTCCAGAAATAGGGGCTCCTCTTTAAGGGCAAAGCATAGTGCCTTGAGGTGATCAAGAAGGCTTTACACAATAGGGGTGAGGATTGTGCAGCCTCAAATGGAAACAGCACATTGAAAATGTAAGAGGCAAAGATCATAGGCCCAGTGTAGGCTTCAGAGAAACGATTTGGGTTGACCGGGCGGTGAGCAGTGGGCAGGCCTGTGCTGCTGCTGGAAGGGAGAGCTGGGAGCGGAGGCAGCAGGGTGGCAGTCTGATTTTCTGGGGGGACCCATGGGATGGCACACTATGCAGCCAGCCATCTGGGCCTCCATTCCAGCATCACGACTTTCTGGTCCTGTGACTTAGGTGTGTTACTCAGCTTCTCCCTGCCTTAGTTTCCTCCCCTTTGAAATAAGATGGTAACAGAATAGCTAGGACTGATGTGAGCCTTTGATGAACTAGTTCATGGAAAGTGCTTAGACCAGGGCTGGCACAGTGTTCAATAAATGCAAACCAGTATGCTGATTGCTCCTACATTATAGCATGTGTAATATTGTGTTATATTCTCACATAAGCTTGTTTTATTATTATAATGTTATACAGTATTACCCATCTGACTTCACCATGAAAGCTAAGCATTTGAATTATTATCCTCTAGTTTTTGTATGACGCCTAAATTAAGAATGACAGTATAATCATCCTAACCCTCACAGCCTTTTACATACAGGCTCTATGCTATGTATGCCATGCTCACCATCTCATTTAATTCTCATGTAATCCTGGGAGGTGGCAGGAGTAGCCCCATCCTCTGGACACTCACATTAACAGGACTCAACCCTGGAATCAAGACAGATGCTGGGCCAATGGGAGCCCAGGCTGCACCCAAGGCATTGTGGGGCCAGGCCACAGCAGGTGGCCCAGAGCTGCACTGCCCATGTTCTCGCCTCAAGGAGCGTGGGTCCTTTCTGAAGGGGGGCAGTGAGTTTAAAGACGGCTCTTACCAATGGCAGGGGAGGCTTCCTGAGGTTCTACCAGGATCCCCGCTCCTGAACCCCACCTCCTCTTCTCCTGTCTTCACTTCCTCTCAGGGAAAAGGGCTATTCACCAACACAAGTGAAAAGACTCTTTATTTGAAGGCTTTTATTTCTTTTCTTTCCTAAGACTCTTGAATCCCAGCTAGTCCTTAAAAGTCCTTATGTGGCCTGTTTTCTGTAAATCTACTACTCCGTCTTCCTTTCGGACACAAAGGCCACACTTCCCAAACCTTGCTACATGCTGCCTAATGCAGGGGCCATGCCAACTTGCTCACCTCTCAATGGCACGTGCCTAGGCCTCTGCCTGGCACATAGTAGGTGCACAATAATTCCCCGTTGAAGGAATGAATGAGTGGGTGAGAGAGTGAGTGAGCGAGCCCCTGGGTTTGGTTTGTTTGTTTGTCATGTGTACCAGAAAGCTCATCTTGGACCTATGATTGGAAACAGGTCACTTAGACAAGCTGGTGAAACTGCCCTTTCACTCCACCTCCTGGGTGGAACTCACTGCAGAGCTCCGTGGCTCACAGGCACCGAGAGGTCTTTCTTGTCTGCTGCTGTTCATTCATCCTCTCTGCAAAGATGTCAGCTGTGTGCAGTGAACCCTGTGCTGTGGACTCCAATCATGGGCTGTGGACTCCAGCCATGGGCTGTGGACTCCCAGCCATGTGCTTGGAGTCAGTCAGGGAAGAAAATATGTCCAAGAACTAGCCCCTGTCCTCAGATAGCTTCAGTTGTCACAGAGAAGCCAGTCAGAGCCACAGGCAACTCCTCTGGTGGAGGTTACACCCTGTGATAGTGATGTGACCAGGATACTTTGGGGTGCTTGATTCAGAGATTCTCTCCCGAGGCATTTACAAGAGAGGAGTCCTGGAAGCAGACTGGGGCGACAGGGAGGGTGGAGGATGGAAGAGAAATGAAGGTGAAATGAAGTTTAGTTGTGGCCGAAGGGAGAGACGTTATGAAGGATGAGGCTGGCGGAAAAGGCAGATCATACAACGATGCTGAGGCTCAGCTGAAGATTTCAGATTTGATTGTGGGACAACAGGAAGTAAAGGCTTTAAGGCCAGGTGAGGGCCGTGAAGCTGTCAGACTGGGGTTTGGGAAAATCACTCTTGGCAAATAGGTATTTCTTATTAAGCATCTCCCAGAGCTGCAAAAAAAAAAAAAAAAAAAAAAAAAAGCAGTAAAGCGGCTGTTCTGAGTTTACCCCAGCTCTGAGCATTTCATCAGTGCCATAAGTCCCCAGCTCCTCAGAGAAGATGAAGCCAGAACCCCACTGGCTGGCAGATGGGTCCTCTGCCTAGAACGACCGCCACTGGTCCCAGCCAGAATTTTTGGGTTCCTTGTGTTTGCAGCTAGAGGGCCATATTCAAAGAGCAGTGGGACTCAGAGCAGTGTGTCTGGTTTGAATAAGAAAGCTCAAGCTCTTGAGGTGGTAGCACCTCACGCTTCCTTAGAGGCTGCAGCTCTAATTAGGCTGATCTCTGCCTGAAAATCCTCCTGTGATCTACGGGGAAGAGGAAGCTTTCATCCCAGAACCCTTTCAAAGTGCCTATCAGCTCCCTGGCAGCGGCAGCGGCAGCTGAGCAGAGGGAGCTGATTGGCAGCAGCACTTGTGAGAGCCCCGGGCTGCAGCATGCGGTGGAGCTGCTGGCAGCAGGGAATCTGCCTCATGCCCGCCAAGCCCACTGGAGCCCCCAATGGAAAGAATCCTGGCTCCAGGAAAACCGCTTGCTTTTCCCTTCACTGTCCTTGCCTCCCCTTCACTGCACTAAAAATGCTGATTTGGATTGCAAGCTCTTTTAAATCGCCTCTCTAACTGAGGTCCTGTCTCCAGCAGCAGAGGTTGGTGGACAGGCCACATCCCTGGTGGTCTGAGACCAAGAGCACCGTCTTCCCTGACCTGCTTGGGTCCAGGCTGTGAGGGCTCTCATTGTGCATTTCTTGAGAGAGACCTAGGTATCTGCCTAGGCCAGAGAGTAAGCGGGCTCTTGTAAAGAATGTTCAGATTGGTTTCTGAAAACCATACCTTTGCTCTTGGACACTATTTTCTACTTCCGGTATTGACCTTGTAAATATGGAGGGTAGTTGTCCTCATGTTATTTTGGAGATATGGAAGAAAAAACGAGCTAACTCTAGGAGCCACTGTGGAATCAGCTTTAGTTCCAGGAAACCGGCTCATCGAAGCCCCTGGGGAGTAAGGACACACCTGGTAGTGTATCTGGATCGTGGGGTGGGAATGGTGGGGATGACAGCTGCAGGGCAAGAAGAAAGGAATTGAAAAGCGGAGAGGTTATCACTAGTGTGGGCAATGTTTGCTCCTTTGAAAAAATCGGTTGTTGCCATTTGCCCAGCCATTGCTGATCCCAGCGAGACTGGGCAGGCAATGATTAAGCAGCGAAGTTTCCTAACCTCACTGCTGGTTCTCTTCTGTGCAGTGGGGATAATACCCCCTACCTCTTAGGGCTGGTGGAGGAATCAGTAGATTAATACATGTTTAGGGCTAAGACAGTGCCTGACACAGAATAAATCCTCTGAAAGCCTTAGCTGCTCGCCACTGAAGGAGCCCAGAAAACAACAAAGGTGTGTTTTTCAAACAGCCTCATTGAGGTATAGTTGTCAAACTTTAAAATTCACTCCTTGTAAGGATACAATTCAGTGTTGTTGTTTTAGTAAATTTATAGTTGTTCTGTTACCATGACAGTCTAATCTGATAATTATCACCCCTAAAAGCTCATTTCTGCCTATTTGCCGTCAGTCCTTGCTCCCGACCTGAGCCCCAGGAAATACTGATCTGTTCTGTCTCTGTAGATGTGCCTTTTCTGGAGAATTCTGGCTTCTTTTCCTCAGCATAATGTTAGGTGCATGCATGTTAGCCTCGTTGCTTCTTTATTGCAGACTAGCCTTCCATTGTATGCATGTACCGCACTTCGTTTATTCATCAGTTGGTGGACATTTGGGCTGTTTTCACCTTTTAGCTGCTGTGAACATTCATGAGCATGTGGATGTACATTTTCCTTCCTCCTGGGCCAACTCCTAGCAGTGGAAGGAAATGGAATATGAGAGGTTTAAGTCTGACTCTTTCCAAAGAGAGCTTGTTGTTGGCATGGATTTATATAAGTGGAAATGGTTCTTGGAGATGTCACCACAGCTTAGTTCCCAGCCACCTTCTCTTTTGCCCTCGGGGGAACACAGTGTCTCTCCCACCACTGAGAATCAGCCCCAGCGCACTCAGGAATGGACTTCACTTTTTTTGAGGACAGCATAAGCTGAGGATGGTGGATGCCAACAGGCAGCTGAGCTATGTTAGATCTGGTCAGTCAGCCAGTACTTATTGAGCACTTTTCTTCCTGGATTTCAGTTGTGATATAAATAGTAAATGTCTCCCTTACTCTTCAAATAACTGACCAAACTTGGCCTAAACCCCACTTTTATGACCTAGAACTTGCCCCCACAACCTCCCCCATTTTTTCAAAAATTGCTGACCTTATTTATTCTTAATCCTGCTTCCAAGTCTATATCTGAACCTATTTTTTGTTGTTGGTGTTGTTCCAGACAATCCATTTTCACCTGATATGTCATGGCTGTAGTAACTCTGTTAAGGATTTGGTTGGACTGGGGAGCTTGTGGAAAGGATCCCATCTTCTACAACCAAGAGAGGGGCTGCCCCTCCACCGAGTACTTCTCTCTGGGGAGGAGCCCACCCCTCTTCTCTAGCTCTCTTGGTATTTTTTGAATAATAATCCAAGGCTAAGTGTCACCATTGCTGTCACTTAGCCTTCGTTCCAAAAGCAGCAGCACCCTTAACTTTTCCACAGTAAATTGTGTTCATTTGTTCAGAACATTGTTTTTTCTATAAATTTGCATTAATAAACCCTTCTCATTACAATTACTGCAGGAAATTTTCAGAATAGTCGAGCTAATTTAGGGAAATTTGGTGACTGGTTGAAATAATTGTTCTGTGTTCTGAGAGGGCTCATTAACCAGATTGGAAATTACTATTTATGTTTCATTCTATGTATATAAAGCCTCTCTTAGTTACAATATTGTTCTTTTCTACTGCTATTGTCGAAGCTCCAAGATGCCAGACCATTAAATTCAGTTCAATAGTCCTTTATTGAGCACCAGTTACCTGCAAAGCACTATGTTAGTGATAAGCCACTATCTCTATTCAGCCTACAAAACCCAGTCTAAAAGCCCTACTTTCTGGAAGCCTTCTCCGATAGCTACCACCATCACTCTTCCCCTCGTCCCAGAGATCATTCTTTTTCTCCTCTGAGTAGCTGGTGCATTCCTGTTTGGACGTCTGATCTGTACAATTCTTTAATTTTGTTATGTTGTGCATGGAGCCTTTAAGCCAGAGCCTGTGCTTCATTCACATTCCTATTTCTTGTATCTAGGGAAATTTTAACAGTCATTTGTAAAATGTTGAGTAGCTGATGAGAAAGCCTTCAAAGCCAGCATATAAGACATGAGTGATGGAGGTTTGCTGAACAAAGATGCCAGTCTGATCTGAAGCCATTGTTGCCCTCCTGCACTGTCCCATAGCTTCCTGCCTCTGCCTTTGCTGTGCTCCTACTCTCTGATCTCAGCAGATCCTGCCACTCTGCTGTCACTGGCAGTGGGGGGGCGGGGGGGGGGGGATCTGAAGTGGGACCCCCTAAGCACTCCACCACCTCCTACAGGTTCTTGATTTCCCGGGAAAGAATTCAAGAGCCAGTCCAAGTGAGAAGGAAAGCAGGTTTTATTTAGGTTGAGAGAAAGGGGCCAGAACAGGATCCCTGGAGACAGGATGAGGGTGAGCCCGGAGCAGACGACACCCACTGCTCCCCTGGTTGTGCATTCCTGTTTGGGCATCTGTGAAGGAAGGCACCTGCGAAAGTACACATCCCAGTGGACACGGTGAACTCGAGCGTTAGTTCTGCTGGGCCAGTCAGTTCTTGGGATGTATTTGATGTGTTCCCAATGCTGGGTTGTTTCTGAACTTTTTGGTGCCAAATTCTGCCTCCGCCTTCTGGTTGGGGTAGGGGGGCCTTGTTCCTACACAAATATGATCCTTTCTGAGATGTCCTGGCTTTGCCCCCTATCAGTTTTCATTATAATGAAGGTATAATGAGCTTTGGGGTCAGTCTCTGGTCAGTTTTTCCTCCATCTTGGATTGACCTGGTTTTAGTCAGTCCTTGCTGTTGTTGACTTCTTCGACTACCCACCCCTGCCACAAACTGTTTCCCTTTGATAGTTTACCTGCCTGTGGTGTGAGGTGGGCTCCCACTTCCTCACTCTCCTGGAGGGTTTTCCCCAGCTCCTTTCTCTCCTGCCCCACTCCCCTCCCAGAACTCTGGCTCCATCTCACTCAGAGGCAGAGACAAAGCTTTACATGGACCCCAAAGTTCTGTGTGTGCTGATCCCTGGGACCCCCTCACCCCAGACCTGTCTCCTATTTCTGGCCCCCAACACACACTCTGTTCAACCCACGGAATTCTCTGCTGCTTTTGGAACCTGCTTGACACTCCCATCATCAGAGCCTTTGGTGTTGGTTTCCATCTGTCCAGAATGTTTTTCACAGATACTTGTGTGGCTCCCTCTTTTACTTCCTCCTGTCTTTTCTTAATGTCACCTTCTTGGCCCTGGCTGGGTAGCTCAACTGGTTCCAGTGTGGTCCTGATACACCAAGGTTGTATGTTTGTGTCCATTCAGGACTCATGCAAGAATCAACCAATGACTGCATCAATATGTGAAACAACAAATCTTTCTCTCCCTCTTCCTCTACTTTTTCCTCCCCCTCCTCCTTCCGCTAAATAAACTAATTAATTAACTAACTAATTAAAACGTCACCTTCTCCATGATGCCTTACCTGGACCCTCTCCTCCCCCACATCTCCATCCCTTTTCCTCATTTCATTCTTTTGAGAACACTTATTATCTTTTAACATATTATATATAATTCATTTCTCTGTTTTTCTGTCTCCCTCATTGGAGGTAAGCTGCATGAAGGCAGTAGTTTGGGTTTCTTAGTTTTTCACTGAGTCTTCCCAAGGGCCTAGGAGAGTGCCTTGCACATAGTGACAGTAAGAGCCAAATGCAGATGGTGGTGTTTATCTCAGGTGCCTTTCTGAGCACTTTACGCATTATAAGTAATGTAATCCCCTTTACAGCTCTAGAAAATTGGTATTTTCTGCATTTTACAGCAAAAACTGAGACAAGATTATGTAACTAATCAAGATCATTCCGCTAGTAAGTGGAGGAGCTAGATGCAGCTAGTTTGAGTTCTGAACCCTTACGCTTTCCTGCTTCCTAGCCAGTATTTTGTTGAGTGAGTGAATGAATGAATTAATGAATGCGCAAGTGGGTGAGTGCTTACAGGAAAGAGACCAGTTGGCATTGCTATGATAGCTTAGGCTTAGGTTGACTGAAATAAGACCTCCAGCCTCCCATGAGCACCCAGCACCTTGATCGAGGGGTGAGAAGAGGCTTGTGAAGGGGCTTGGGCAAAGGGATGGCTCTCGTGGACAAATTGTCTTACATACTCCTGGCAACTCAACCTCTTACCTCTGGACCCTGGCAGCAAGTAATGGTCGACCTTGGAATATTCCCTGTAACATTTCTCGGTGCCTCTTAAAAGCCTCCTCACTTTAGCTCACAGGAATCATATAAGGACTGAAGAACAAGTGGTATTCTCCATTTTAGATGTGAGAGTGGCAGAGAGCTCCAGGGATGTCTGTGAAGTCCCGGCTGGAACTATAATTGTAGCCCAGAGCCCCAGGCTCCTCCTGCCTTACCTGGTCCCGTGCTTACTGGGAACACCTTCAGGCCTTCCTCGCTTCGGTTTTACCAAGTCTTAGGAAGGTCCTACTGCGACTTTTACTATTGGCTCCCAAAACAGACTTCTGAGAGGATGCCAGCCCAGCCCCAGTGAGCCCTGAGTAAGCACGACTGGGGCCCGTGTGCATGTGTAATTGCACTAAGCTCGCCCGTTGAAGGGACCTGGAGATGGTTGGCCATAGTGGTTTACCGAGAAGTGAGCAAATGGCACAGATCCACCCTGCAGCGGAGCTTTGAGGGCACTTGCTTCGTGCAGACTTCGTGGTGCCATGTAGCCCCAGCCTCTCAGATACACAGGCATCTCCTCTACGAGGGACAGGAAGAGGGGTGAGCACTTGTGGTCCACCTGCTATTTGCCAGCCTCCCGCTCAGCTCCATCACTCAGTCAGCTTAATTTTCCACAGATGAGTGAGGGAGCCCACACCAGCCTGGGTATCGTGTCAGAGCACCCAGGGACAGCGTCAGATTCAGCCTCCTAACTTAAGTGCCTTCCTTGGAGTTAAGATCACCTCCTAATCTTACATGGCAGAGTCTTTCTCCTCATTTGTTTTATTCCTGGGACTGCTTCACGTACCACAAGAAGCTAAAAATGAATAAGGAGAAAGGTTTCGAACTGCCTGTAGGCGTCATATAAGGAAAGACATTCGTGATTGTTTTTTAAGAAAAGCTCTAACAGCCAGTATTGGAGCCTCCAGCGTTGGTGGATTTCCAGTTCCCCAGCCCAATCCAGGTTGCAGTCGAGGGAGCTGGTAGGTGGACAGGTGGAGAGCTGGCCCAGGGACACGCTCTGGCTGAGGCCAGTTCCAATCCAAGTTTGTCTGTAGCCCACCTACTCCCCTTCCCTGTTCCCTGGCAGCAGCCGCCTCCCCTGTGGGCTGCCTGGCAGGCTGTGGTTGCAAGTTACAGCTTTGGTCCCTTGACTGATGGCTTTCTGTCATTCCAGGACTTCTGCCATGGGCAGGTGATGTGGCCGCCCCTCGGTGCCCTGCAGGTGAAGCTTGCTGAGCCCGGGCAGTCCTGCAAGCAGGTGTGCCAGGAGAACCAGCTCATCTGTGAGCCGTCTTTCTTCCAGCACCTGAACAAGGACAAGGACCTGCTGAAGTGAGTGCTGGAGCAGGGCGGGCGGGGCAGCCTAGAGCAGGATGAGGTTCTGTCTCCAGGCTCGTGGGCTGCGGGAAAAGATGTGGGAAGGTGAGCAGGTTGTAGCATGATCCCCCCAGAGAAAGTTTAGCAGCATTTTTAGTTAGGTAGATGAGGTCATATTTAGAATTCGATTGAGAGTGTTTTATTTGCATAAGTAATGTCATGTCTGGGCTTGAAGATTGTGGGAGGTGTTCACTTTGCTACCGTCATATCCGAGAACCATGAGAGCGGAGGTGGGCACAGAACCACAGCAGTCTGAGACGTGCAGGTGGCGGGTGAGCCTTGCACCCTAGAGTGAGGAAGGAATGGGAGACATGGGCAAGGAGCTGGCAAGAACTGCCTAGAGCAAAGTCCACGCCATCCTCACCTCCTGCAACCCATCCTTGTTTGCACGTTTGCCCAGCTCCTCTGATCTGAGCAGGCCTGACCCTGCCAGGTCCCTGGGCAGGAGCTGGGTGTGGTGGGTGCCTGGAATGCGGGCCAGCCCGCACCCAGGAGGGGCCATCTGGATCGCATGAGCTTTTGCCCTTGTGCTTGCATTGCTTTTACCAACACCACTCACTTCCCTCTGCATTGGCATTTTGAGTTTGGCAGTTGCAGTTCCCAAATTTCCATATGAGGTTTCTTTGATCTCTGACTCATGGCCCCCTCTGTAGAGCAGTGGTCTGTCCCTGTCTCAAAGAGTGTTTAAGGAACACAGTGGCCTCTGGAGCAAAGCTTGCCTGGCCCTGCTCTGGCTTTGCACCTATCGGAGAATTCGGTCGGCCACTGTGGTTACCTGTGCACAGTCGTCTGAGCTGGCCTGGTCATTATTCTCAAGTAAAAACCCGTTACAGAAAGAGCACATGGCTCTGGCGTCAATCACAGCCTCAGGGAAGCTCTGCTGAGGTGAGCCGTGGGAGATGCTATCTTCCTGCCGAGACCAGGTCCGGCTGCCCTGGCTCACCATCAGCCTAAAGGCCAGACCTCTGAGAGGGAGCGGTGCTCTGGTATTTATGGAAAGCCTGTAATCGTTCTAGAAGCTTCCATTTCCACATCACACATCCCGGATTCTAGGGTCCAGGAAGGGCTCTCCATGGCTCATCTTATAAACAGTCCCTGGAGTAAAGTGGTTTTTTAAGAACCCCAAGTGTCTATGCATCAGTCTGGATTTGCTGGGGGCAGACTAGGGACTGTCCACCCAGAATTGTCTAAATGCTCCCCACCTGTCCCCAGGAAACAGGGATGCTGCTGCCCGGGTCCCGTGATCGAGGCTCCACTCAGCATGCCTTTCCCCAGGGCATGGGCCTAGGTCCAGTGAGGAGACAGGAAGGGGAGCCAGTGGGTAGTCTCCTCTGTCCCCTTGATTTTCTCATCTGTAAAATGGGGACATCCTGGGTGATGGTGAGGTGATGTGCAGCCAGTGTTGACGCGGAGCAAATGGCCCTTCTTCCAGAGCTCTGAGTGGGGAAACAGGCCCGAGGTAACCAGGAGGAGCCAAGGGAGCCAGGCCTCGTGCCATGGGAGTGACTAACAACTCCCACCCCTACTGTAGCTTTCTTCTTGGGAGCCTGCAGGGAATGCTAACATTGCAGTAAAGCTGCCTGCAGTTAATTCTCTGAATGTAAGGGCCCTCCTGAAAGCATTGTGCCTGCATTTGTAAATGCTGACAATGTTGTAAAATCCAGCTATCTTCCATCTGTTAGTGCCTCCTCTGCACGAGGTGCCCTGGCCCCCCCTTGTTCATGGCCAGTTAGCAATGAGGGGCTCCACACACCAGCATTGCTTTTCCTGCTCCACCTTGCAGGCCTGAATTGTGACATGAATTGAGCCCTTTAGAGCATCCCATGCTGTCACTTTGAATTAGGAATCGGCAGCTGGTCTTGAGCTGTGGCACAGTGTGCCCTGACTGCACCACAGCTCAAGACCACCAGCTCCTGTGCACAAAGCATGCGCGGTTCTAACCGAAATGGGTAGAGACCCTGGGATGAACCAAGCCCAGGCCGGGGTGGCTCCATATGTGCTCCATATGTGCATTCACATGAGACCTTGTTTGTGATTTGGCTGCCTTTTCAAGTTGTATCTTCTAAATTATTAGATTATTAAGTTTCGGAGGATTTTAACTAAGTTGGTGCCTGGGAAAAGGGAATGGCCCTGAGTCAGAGTGGTCAAGAGGAGCTAGGGGCATTTGGAAGTAGCAGGGTGGCGGGTGAGGAAGGGAGGAACTCCAGGACAGGGACTATGGGAGGGCTAGGCCAGCTACAGCCCCTCACCCTGTGCGTGCCCGTGTGTACCCGTGGGTGGTTCTGTCCTCTCAGGAAGTCGGGCCCGTGGGAAGGCGGGCCTTTGCCCTTTCATTCTTCCATAGCCATAAAATATAAACTGAGGCATTGGACCTCAGGAGCCCCCACTCTGCCCTGAAAGAGAAGCAGGAGAGGCAGCACCCTGCAGAAGGGAAACTAGACCACACCAGGGTCTCTGCACAGGTGTGAGGGTGTATGAGCAAGAATGGGCTTGAATGGGTATGTGTGTCAGGGGTGACAGTCATCACAGGAACACAGAGGCTGAAACAGTGGCGTGCATGCCCTGGAAAGGAAGGGATCCCCAGTGGAGAGGGGATTGCGGGCCATGGAGGCCATCTGGGCTCTGGGTACTCCGCAGGTATTAGGAAAGTCACCTCACCTCTCTGGTGAATTCTCTCGCCAGCTAAGCAGGAATGATGGCATGGCCTTCCCGGGTGGCCAGGGCTGTGGGGCAGGGCCCTGCCGCTGAAGGAGAGAGCACTCCCTGGGGCCAGCAGGTGGGTGGCATCAGAGGTGGCCAGAGTTATGCCACTCACGGGACCATGTGAAGACTGGGGACTGCCTGTGGGAAGACTGCGGTCTCCGACATCATCCCTGGGCAGGCAGGCTGCTCCTGTGACCACCCCGGTGAGATGCACTCACACCAGGAGACGGAGCCTGGGATCTGAGTCCAGGTGACCAGGGCAGGAGCTGGCGGGTTCTCTGTGTTCACTGACAGTGATAGCCCATGCCATGGGGTCTGAGGTGAGTTGCAGACCTTTCCATGCTCCTGCTTAGCAGGGTACCAGGCAGATGAATCAAGGTTCAGCAGGTGCTATCATTCCCCTTCATAAAGAGCTTAAGCATAACTGTTTCCCAAGGCTGCGTTTCATGTGGAAACTTGAATGCACACCTGAGCTCTGGAGACCTCTTGCTGTGAATTGGCCAGCTGGGATAGTCTATATAGGGTTTGGAAGCCCTGAGTCTCTGTCTCCTTTTCCTTTAAGAAAGCCATAAAACTCCGCTTCCTGCCTTCACCTTCCTGGTCCACAACCTAACACCTCCACCTCTAGCTGGTGTGCCAGGAGCAGAGGTGATGGGGGATTTAGGGAAGTCGCAGAGCCCACTGGCGACTACAGGGGTGAGATACAAGGGAGCTCTGCCTTCCCCAGCACCAAGCGCCAGGCTGGAAGCCCTTAGAGCCACCAGCATCCCCCAGATGCCCTGGAAATCATCTGATTTAGTGTTGGCAAGGGCTGGGCCAGGCAGTGTGTTAGTTGGCTGGAGAAGACAAGAGGGGGCTGGAGGAATGGCGCCTGGGGAAGGGGACCTGGAAGCTTTGCAGGGACAGCAGGAAACCTTGGGGTCCCCAGCCAGATCCTCCCCTGTCCGCAGGAATGGAGACTTCTGTGAATGTAGGAGAATTGAGACAATTGTCCTGTGTGTCCGTTCACAATGTGGGAAGGGAGGCCGATGCCTAGTCCACCCAGTGTCTGCCAGGCAGAGGACCATGATGGTGATGATGTTCGTGACAGAAGTTCCCACTTCCTGAGCGCTCCCCCAGAGCTAGACCCTGCCCAGTGCTCTAGGGTGCTGTTGTCATCCCCGTGCCTCCCAGGGTTAAGGAAATCTACCCCAGTTCACAGAGGCTCAGTCATGGGCCCAGGGTCACAGGCCTGCCTGGTGCCTGGACCTTCTTCTCTGAACTGTCCCTACATGGCATGCAGGCACCAGACTGGACACCTGGTGATCGGGGGGGGGCAGCAGTGTACCCCAAGGAGCAGGAGGAGAAAACATGGCTCCTTTCTGGGACAGAGGCTGGCAGTGTTGGGCCCAGGCAGTGTTCCAGCCAGAGAATCAGAGCCACTGGGTCTGTAGCCCACAGACAAGCCAGCTGTAGGAGATGGCAGAGGAGCAGGAGCACAGGCTGGGGTCAGCACTGAGACTCCTCCCTGCAGTGCTGAGGCCTAGCACTTACCTGGGGCGGGGGGGGGGGGGGGGGGGCGCGTAATGGGGGCTGCTGTTGCATGGCTGCCACACCCCAGAGCAGCACCTCCCTCTGATTAGCAGGATACCAGGAAGATGATTCCTGCCGCAGAGACCAAGGCCATACAACAGGAATCTTTGTGAGCCGTCAATAAAAACATTCAACATAGCTGTAAAAATTAGGGCGTTCAAAAAGGTACACACACTTTGAATAATTATAAAGATAGTGTTTATTAAAATACACTAGAGGCCCAGTCACGAAATTTGTGCATAAGGATGGGTGAGGTGGGGCTCAGCCCAGCCTACACTGTCTTCAATCTGGGACCCCTCAAGGGATGCCGGACTGCCCTCTCACAATCCAGGACTGCTGGCTCCCAACACCTCACCTGCCTGATTGCCCCTAATTGCTTCTGCATGCCAGCATGATCACCCCACCCCATAACCACTCCCCTGCCAGCCTGATTTAATCCTAACTGCTCCCCTGCTAGCCTGGTCACCCCCAGCAGTCCTCCCCTATAGGCATGGTTGCCCCCAACTACCATCCCCTGCAGGTCTGGTGTCGTCCCCCCCCAACTACCCTCCCCTGCAGGCCTGGTCCCCCCCAGCTGCCCTCCCCTGAAGACCTGGTCTCCCACAGTGTACTTCCCTGGAAGCCTGGTCATCCCCAATTGCCCTCCTCTGCCGGCCCAGTCACCCTTAACTGCCCTCTCCTGCAGGCCCCCCACAACTATTCAATCAGGCTGTCAGGGGAGTAATTATGGGGTGGGGTGATCAGGCTGACAGGCAGAAGCAGTTAGGGGCCCTCTCTTGCAAGCCTGGTCCCTCCCAATTGCCCTCCTCTGCCGGCCATCTTATGGCAGCCATATTGTGTCCACATGAGGGCAACCATCTTTGACACATGGGAGTAGGCATCTTGTGTGTTGGAGTGATGGTCAATTTGCATATTACCCTTTTTAATATATAGGATTTCATTTTCGAAATTGAGTTATCAGCTCTTAAAATGTATATGCATATTTCTGGGGACACCCTGTATTTAAATATTACTCGACTTTGCCCCAGTCTTACTCCTTAGAAGTAACCATTGTTAAGGTTTTAATGTATAGCCTTCTTGGCTTTTAGACGCAGTCTCACATAACATATTACACACACACTCATTCTCTTGCACACACATACATACACCACACACACACACCTTCTTATACACACTCATATTCTCACCCATTCATATGCACACACACACACACCACACACACATTCTTATCCATGCTCTCAACCACTCATATGCATGCACATACACACACCACACACACGCACTCACACACAGTTCTTCCACACTTATACTCTCACCCACTCACATATACACACACATATACCACGCATGATCTTACACACCCCATGTGCTCAACCACTCACATGCACAAACACATACATCACTGGCATTCCCTCACACGTTCTTACACAACCATACCCTCACTCACGCACACACAAACGCGCACACGCACAGGTGGAGCTGGGTCACGCTGTGCCTCCTGTTCTGCGACTTGCCTCCTGCAGGACAGCTCCCCACAGCCACTTGCTGCCTAGAACTCCCAAAGCACATGCACCAAGTTGATCTCCCCGTTCCCCACATGGTGTTTGGGTTATTTACTTTTACATACTGTCTTCACAAGCAGCCTTGAATGCATGTCCCCACGCATCCAGGCACACACCTCTCTCTAGCCCCATCCCTCCAGTGGAGACTTGCTGGGTCAGAGGGTGCTGGCTGCTGTCTATTTACAGCAGGAGAAGGACCCTCCTCCCCACCTTCAGGAGGTGGGCCGAGAAGCCAGTGATGAGGACAGTCCGTGCACCTCCAACCTTGTGCCTTTCTCTTCCTCTCCAGGTATGAGGTGACCTGCCAAAGCTCAGAGCTGGCCAAGGACATCCTGGTGCCCTCCTTTGACCCCAAGAGCAAGCACTGTGTGTTTCAAGGTGACCTCCTGCTGTTCAGCTGCGCAGGCGCCCACCCCAGGCACCGGAGGATCTGCCCCTGCCGGGACTTCATCAAGGGCCAGGTGGCTCTCTGCAAAGACTGTCTATAGCGGCCACCAGCCAGCCCTGCACACACTCTGCTGGGAGCAGCGGCTCCAGCCCTGTCCTGGCAGAGCCTGGGGGCAGGCGTCATTCAGGGACTCTCGCCAGAGCCTGAACTTTTTGGTGGAAGATTTCGATGTGGTATCACTCCTGCTGTGGTCAGCGCATCACAGTGGCATTTTCACCAAAACCAAAGGCAGGCCAGCATCAGGCCAGGAGCCTGGCTGCTCTCCCTGGCACAAGTTTATTTTTTGAGGAGCAGCTGCAGGGAGAATCCCTCGATGCACTTGCTCCAGGGTAGAGCACGAATCTCAAGATTCATTTAAAACAGAACAAAACCAGAGGGGGAACTGAGCTGGTTGGCAAGAACTTTTTAGGAACATTCCTAAATCCATTAACTTATTTATTTGGGAGGGGGAGGCTACCAGGGGAGGGCAGAGAGGGGCTGATCACAGGTCTTGTTTCTTTGATTTCTCACTGTTTACCATCCACCTTCACTGTAATAGTTTTCTGGCCCCATCAGGGTGGTGCCAGAGGGAGAGGAGGGGAGCGCCGTGGGGATCTAGCTCCTCAAAGCAGATGGCGGCAGAGAAGAAAATCTTGTGTGCGCTTGGTGGTAGCTACAGAACAGGCACCCCCAGGTGTGGGGGGACAACCCAGCCAGGGAACGAAGTACATGATTAGGAAATTGACAGCTGGTGGTTGGTGGTAAATCTCGAAAGGCAGGACCAGGGCCAAAAGAGCTACCCTTGGATGTAGCTGTGGTGTTTACCCCTTACAAGCGTTGTCTTTGAGCTGGGAGTGGATGAGTGAGCTGGTCCCTGTGGCCTGGTGTCACACTGGAGCTGGGATGCAAACTTTGGGCTTGCGTTACATTCCTTCGAATGCCTGGAACCTCCATAGCCCAGGGAATGGGGCTCTGGGCGAACTTGATGTTGGCTGGGGGATCAGGGGCAGGCCAGTGTGAAAATGAGTCACTGTCCTGGTGGCTCACTTGGGTGGGGATGGGGTGGCTCGCAGCCAGGCACCAGTATTTTGAGGTGTGAGCCAGTTGGCAGCTTGGCCTGGTCAGACTCACTGGACCCCCTTCCAGCCCCTGCGCTCTGCTTTGCTGGGTTCCCCGCCTCCCCCGGGCAGTTGCAATGCTTTGGGTATGTTTCCTGGCATCCCCATGCGGTAAGAGTCAGCCCTCTCTTTCCTCTTCGTCTCCCTGTTATGAGTAGTTGGGGTCCACCCAGCCCTCAGTGGTGGCATGGCCTCCCAGCACCCTGCATGCCCTCCCGCAGCTGCCCAGCCTCGGCTGGCAAAGAGCTGGTACGATGAATGGTGGATGGGCCTCTGAGAAGTGAGACTAAAGGAGGGACTCTGTTTCAGGAGGACAGAGGGAGTGTGGAGCCTCTACGTGTGGGGAGTTAGATTCTACCTGCTTCTCAGTTCTTCCTTCGTGCATAAATAGCACCACATGCACAGCCTGCCTTTTTCACTTTGACTCTCAATGTGTCTGAATCCCAGCTCCAATCCTAGGGAACAGAGGGTGTCAGAGGGGAAGCACCTACAACCCCTCAGGTGACCCCTGAACACATGTGCAAGGGAGAGTGCTGATGGGAGGCCAAGGCCCAGCAGCAAGGACACAAGAAAGGAAACCTTGTTTTAGGATGTGAGTGAGTGAATGAGTGAATATGGGTATATGTGTTCTTTTAAGATTTGCAAGGGCAGTTGCCTGCAGTAGGAGGAGAAATAACTGTTAGGAATTGCTGTTCTCTGAATGGTCCTCTTGGCTGCACCCTAAATTGTGGAAATTGGCTTAAGCTCCCAGGCCTACAATTCCTGGGCCTGTGCTGCCCTCTCCCGGACCCTCGCTTCCGAGGGTGAGGATGTCAGTGCAGGCATCTGACCAGCAGGGGGCGCCTGCGGGCCGAGACCGATTTCCTAAGCTCAGCAACCCAGTTTGCAGAGAACTGTTTACTAAGCCAGCACAGGGGCTCAGAAAGTGTGGAAACTAGGAAGCTACATTCTGTGGAAAGACTCGATCCTGCCTTGTATTCCAGAAGCTTCTAGGATTGCTTGCTGGCTGCCCGAGCTCAGGGCCTCCCCCTCTTCCCACTCTTGTCAGGACTCTCAGCTTAGGTGCCCACGGGGGCACTTTCCTCATTAGGTCCCTCTGCTCCTGCCAGCCCAGTGTTGGTGGAGGTGAGGCAGTTCCATGGGTGGGAGAGGGGGGGCAGAGGGGAAGAGGGGTCTGCTGCTCCTGGGCACACTGATCTGCACCCCAGTTGTTGAAGGCTTTATCGATAGAGGCAGTGATGTTGGACAAATACTGGCGTCCAGCCCCCTCTAAACTTGGCCCAAGTCAGGTCAGTGGTCCACAACCAGTGGGGACGTGATTCCTGCCTGCCCGCCTTGGGCAGAGGGCGCCTCAGAGTGTGGGCAGTTTTTCCTAACAGAGTCCTGAGCTAACTTGTGGTTGGAGACCCTTCCACACTGGGACCTGTGCCAGGACCCCTGTCTCCCTGGCTATGAGCACATGCTGCCTGGGCTGAAAGTTTTTGTACATTTTTTCCTCAGTGAAATCTGGTGTTTTCCCCCCACTGTGATTTTAAGTTCCTTAAAAAACAAAAAAACAAAAACAAAACTTGAGGGAAAACATTTATCTAATTTATTAAGAGAGAGAAAGCCTTCCTTTGACATGTAAACACTTTCAGGAGTAAAAGCTTCTAAAGGAGAAACACTGCTTTTAATGTCAGTGGACACCTTGTTTACTCTGTGTATGTAATTGGATTTGCACTTGAACAAAGGAGAGGTTTTTTGCATTTTTGCTTAAGTTGAGTTTCTGTCGCTGCGTATAGTTTGCCTTTTTTGTGTTTGCTGTATGTTTGGAAATATTGTGAATCTGTTTGATATTTATTGTTTCTCTGAGGTGCCTTTTCTCTTTTCTTTGGGGTTGCTTTTGGAACCTGCTGCACTCCCCCAGCTTGGAGACAGGACCTGTCCTGTGTCACTGTGGACTCTCAGGGCCCAGAAACGCCCTTCCAGCCCCTCGGCCAGCACGTATATGCACATACACCCCCCTCCAGACAAGCCCACACCGTCCCAGGCCGCTTGGTCACTTCTGGGTTTGGGGACTGCTGCCTGCCCCTTGGCCCAGGCTCCCTGCCACCTGGCACATGGTGAGGTGTGGCAGGGCAGGCGCCAGCCCTGGCTGAGGAGTTGCACTGTAAGGAAGCAGGGCCTGCTAAGCTCCTGAGTAGCACTGGCCCCCAGACACATCATGAAGGGAGAGGGATGTGCACACCCTTTTGTTCCGTAGTGAGCATGGGGTTTCATAACTGTGACCACTGGTTTCATCTGGAAGGAGAGCCCGTTTCGCTGGTAGTGCAGGCATGGATTTGACAGGCTGATTGAAACTGCTGTTCACGGGCAGGTTTTGTTTGTGGACCAGACCAAGGCAGGCCACCCACTCTCCACGGTGGCTTACCTGGATTGTGTATGTAATTAGCACATGACCACTCCCTTCCCTGCCCCCAAACTTTTTGGTTTTTTGAAAGTCTATTTTGCTAACGACAGGCTCTGTTGCACGTGTTGCTACCCGAAGCCTAGACTTTTATTTATTTAAAAACACTTTAATTTTCACATTGGCTTCATTCCTCTTCCACCCATCCCCGCGGGCCCACAGCGTTTGTGTGTGAAGAGCTGATGGGCACGGAGACTCAGCTTCTTTAGGAAGGTGGGATGTCCTAAAGCTGAGGGCCAGTCCCTCTCATTCCTGTTGGCTTCAACAAGAAGTGGAAAGCCAAGTTTTTATAGCAAAAGGCCAAACTAGCTGTAGTCTCAGATGCAGAAAAAAAAATTAGTAGCTCTCTTAGCACTTAGGGGTTTTGTGAGGATTCGGTGTTTAGCGGTGTCTGGCACATAGTAAGCCCTAGTAAGTGTTAAACATTATTACATTTTACAAAATTTGAGAAATAAAGAGCTGCACTCCTTATCAGTTGGTTCAAAAGTCACACCTACAGGACTCTATTATCCCAGGTTGACGGACTGTTGTGGGATTTACCGGTTGGCGTGTGTAAGTCCCACGCCCACCCTGTGGCCGGAACGTTGCCGGATCCCTGACTGCACTGACTGATTGGAAAACATGCCTGGCTTCAGCCCCAGACGAAACGAGGCTGCGGGATTTGCACACGGGTGATCTTTGGCTCCCTGCTGGGCCTCACCCCAGTGGTGTCTCCTGGACCATTCCAGAGTTTTTCCTTGGGGAACTTTTTGAGCTAGAAATTAAGGTGAATTTTCCCACTGATTGTACCCCTTAAAGTTAACTGTTTCTCTGAAATGAAGTTAAGAGAGGCTTTTCCATTTCCAAGGGGAAAGAATCGACCAATTGAACTTGAGAAGTCCCCTGCTCTCCCCTGCCGGCCAGGGCAGCTCCTCCACAGTCCAGTCTGCAGGGGCCAGACTCCCGGGCAGGTGAATTGTCACGAGTTTGCCCTGGCCCTGGGACCACAGTCTAGCTCGGGGAACCCCAAGACTATATACCACCAGAGCTGCTGGTGGCTCACTGGTTTCCTCCCCAAGTCACCTAAATATCAGTTCACGTTTTGTTTTATTGGGGTTCTAGCCTCTTGCTCCCCAATAGATTGGAGCCGCGTCTCCTTGCCTGTCTAGGCGCTCCTCTGGGCAGATGCATTGTGGAGTGTGGAGGAGTTTGCTGGAGCCCTGTGTCCGAGTTCCTGTTTTCTCTTCTGCTGAATCTGCAGTCCTAGACTTGTGCAGGTGTAAGACTGGGGTTCACCTTCTCCCAAGCATCATTCCTCTAGCCCCGATTTGTGGAGCCTTGAGATGATCTCCCCCAGTCACCTGCAGCTGGTGAGGCCTGGCAGAGGGACCACGGCCAGCGAGTACTCATGGGACATCGGGTGTGTGTGTGGAGGGTGAGGGCTTGGGGTGCACAGAGGACATTAGCCAGGCTGGCGGCCTGGCTGGGACAGCAGCTTGAGAACCTAGGTGGTCTGCCCCTTCTGCCCAAGGGAAGACAGAGCAAAGTTGGGAAGGATTTTGCTCACTGTCCTCCCCAGGTATTAAGAGGGCAGCAGTGGAACAGTCTACGCCAAAGGAGGTGGTGAGTCCCTTCTACTGTAGTCGCTGTCACAACCTCGATGTCTTTAAGCTAATGACCGTTCACATCTGTGTCTTCAAACAGCGCCTGGCTCACTCCGGGGCTTAGTGCAGGGTTCTGCCCACGAGGTGTCGCTGTCCACACGTCCCAACGTACTGTACCTGCATAGAGCGCACTGCTTTGTTTCCACTGTTGTAGACACAACTAGGGAGAACTTTATTTTTCAATAAACTTTACTTGTGTGATGGGTAGGAGTGATCTCTGGGGGATTGGGTGGGTGCAGGTCACCTGCTGAACCAGCCCAGCTGCACCCCAGCACTGGCGTCCACTGCCTGCGTCTCACCGTTTGCAGACGCCGCCGGAAAGGCCGAGAGACCTTGACGGTCAAGGAACGGAGGACGGCTTCACGGTGGTGTGTTCCTTCCCCGCCTCACATCCACCCACACTCGTCTCAGAGCACTCCCTAGACGGGGCCTTTTTGAGATAATTACTACTTCAGATGCTTAAAAATCATGAAGGCTGTGCCAGTGAAATAGTCCTAAAAGGCTGAGGGCCTGTTAGACCTGGTGCATTTCCCTCATGAGCCAGGTTTAGGCACCTGCCCTGGAAACAAGGTCAAGTCCGTGCGCACCCAGGGGCGGCTCGGCCTCAGCACAGCTTCTCACACTCTGCCCAGAGCAGGGACAGCACACAGCTCCTGGATATGGAGGCGCAGGTACGGCCTGATTCCTGTACACCCGTCCCAGAAAGGTCCGAGCAGAATGTGAGTGTGTACGTTTAAGGGAAGCTACATCCTAGTTTCCCTCCAAGCTTCCACGCTGCGTTACATACACAGGAAACCTGCAGGAGAGACCACGGAGTCTCCCATCCCCAGACCTGTTGGAGCAGTCGGCCCTTTCCCAGGTCCGTGTAAATGGCCTGCAGAGCTCTCGGCAAAGCGCTGTGGAGGAAGCTGGCCGACGGCACCAAGCTGCCCCGAGGTTGGGGGCCCCCGGACCAAGCCACCTCCCCTTCATCAGCCTGAAGCAGGGCAGGGGAAGGGGAGTTAGCGTCTGGGACAGCCATCCCTCAGCCCCAGGCAAGGCCAGCTGCAAGGCCTCCGGCACCACCACATCAGTGTGTGGCCCCTTCACCTGAGCGATGGGTGGCCTCCCCACAGACGCAACCCACAGCCCTCCAGGGTCTCCACTCACTCCACCCGGAGCAAGTGACCCTTCCATGTGGTCTTTCAGCCACACAGCAACCTGCCGCCTGTGACACGGACACCTTTCCAAGGTCACTTCCCGGACCACACAAAACGGTGCCGTCTCTATTGTCCAGACAGGCATCTGGGCCAGCAGCAAGTGCTACAGTCCAGAGGGGTGTAGGGACTGTGTTCACAGAACTGACACCTAGCGTCACCTAATCTGCAGACATCTCGTCCTTACAGCCACCTCACAGGCCATCTGACACAACACAGAGATGCCTGCAGGTGTGGGAAGATTGTGTCATTATTTATTACAAATCAATGGTGGTTTCACATCTGTCAAAAATGGGTCGTTTTTACATGTGTTCAGGTTCTGAATGTACAAGAGAGGGTCATGTGCTTAGTTCGTCCATGCAAAGCTCACACGTACATCACTAAGTACTTTAAAAATAGAACTGTCTCCTCTTGAACCAATCTGTTTAGACTCAGGATTAGTAAAATGGTATGAAACTAATGAGAGACGGTGACGGGTCAGGAAGTGTGATACTGATGGTTCTGGGCATGTGATGGAGGCGCAGAAGGGCACACACGGTCTTCCCTTCAGTTCTACCGGAGAGGAGCGCCCAGAGGAGGCGGGTCTAGACAGTGGCTGTTTCAGAACTTCCTGCCAAGCAGAGGCCTTATCCGACCCACAGGAACCCTTTTACTCCAGAAAACAGAAACAGCCAGTTCCCAACAGACGGGAAAACCAGTGTCCCCTCCTGTGCACGGTGTCCTAACGGAGTGACGGGGGAGGTGGGCGAGGGGAGCAGTGCAGACCAACCTGCTGGGCACGCCTGTTCCCGTGAACACAAACTCTCCAAATAAGAAAGTGGATGTTCAGCTAAATACTGGCTCCGTCTGCGGTGTGAGAACCTCTCGTCCTGATGTCTTCATGCAGATCCAGACTGGCGCTCGGGCCCTTCACTCAAACATCTCGTAGTGGCGCGTCTGCCTCACCCTGGGCACCATGTCGATGAGAAGTCTGCAGAGGACACACACAGGTCACCCAGCACACCCCCATCGCCCTGAGCTTTGAGTGCTTGGGGAAGCAGATTGGAGAGGCAATTAAAACAAACAAACAAACAAACAAAAAAACTAATTCACATACCATAAAATTCAGCTTGTGAAATTACATAATTTGGTGGTGTTTAGTGTATGCTTAGATTGTCCAATCATCACCACCTCCTAATTCTAGAACATTTTCCCCACCCCAAAAAGAAACCCCACCAGCATTACTCCTTTTTCCATCCCCAACTCCCCCCAACCACTTATAGATTTTCCATAATTAAGAGAATATTTAATTTATAAAAGTAGACATGTACACTATTACTTTATAACTCACCTAATTGTTTAAAGTGTAAAGTTGAAAGTTTATGTCTGTTTTGTTTGTTCATATAATTTGTTTTTAGATTCCAAATATAAGTGAAGTCATATGATCTTTATCTCACTTATGTCACTTCACATAATACCCTCTAGTTCATCCATGTTGTGGCAAATAGCAAGATTTCATTCTTGTTTTTATGGCGGGGTAATATTCCACGGTATATATGTACCACACCTTCTTTATCCACTCATCTATCGAAGGGCGCTTAGGTTGCTTCAGTACCTTGGCTATTGTAAATAATGCTGCAATGTCTTTTTTAATTAATGTTTTCAATTTCTTTGGATGAATACCTAGAAGTGGGATTTATGGGTCACATGGTAGTCCTCTTTTTAATTTTTTGAGGAACCTACATACTATTATCCACAGTGGCTGTAGCAATTTATAATCCCACCGACAGTGCCCAAGGCTTCTCTTAGTCTTCAAATCCTTGCTAACACTTGTTTGATTCCTGACGGATGGCCATTTTGACAGGTGTGAGGCGGTATCTCATTGTGGTGGTTTTAATTTGCATTTTTCTGATAATTAGTAATGTTGAGCATCTTATATGTTTGTTGGCCATCTGTATATCCTCTTTGGAAAAATGTCTATTCAGGTACTCTGCCCACTTTTTAATCAGATTCTTAGGATTTTGTTTTGTTATATGATTTCCTGATGTAGTTGAGTCCTGTTGGCACATCAGTGGGTGGAATTGACCTTCAGGCTACATGACTAAAGCAGACAAGCTATCTTGTGGAGGCTAATCACATAGGGGGATCATTTTAGTGGGGCTTTGTTGCCAGCTGCTCCCACCCTTTGGATGAGTCATTTGTGGAGCTATTTGGTGGTGCCCTAATATACTCTAAAACTGGCCCCGGGTGTGTTGGTTTTGGGGCTTCTTAGGAGGGCCCCAGTGCGGGATTGAGGCCATCTGGTAGGAGCTACAAAGTCTTTGTGGTTTGTTGCCACTTGTGCTGGGCTTGGAGGCACTTGGAAGAGGCTGTGCTGTGAATCAAGGTTGGTTGCCACTAGCTCCAGGCTTGGGACCCTTTGGTGGGCACCACAATGTGTGCTGACACAGGCACTATGTGTACTGGGCTCATGGCCATTAAGTTGAAGTTAGTTCCAAGTCAACACTGCCCATTTGTCAGGGCACAATGCAAGTTGAGATATATACCCTCTTGTGCCAGGCATGCCAAGGCTAGCTGCTGCTTGTTTGGAACTCTGAGGGATTTGGGGTAAGTCCATAGTGTGAGCCCCAGCAGGCCACTTGTGTGGAAGATCCACTGGAAGCACCTGGGCTGGAAATTCAAGTTGAGTGGGGTGGGGTCTCAAAGAATTACCAGGGTGGGGCAAATGGTGTTAGCCAAGGTGATGAGATCTGGGATTTGGCACCCACCTGTGACTGATGGCTGAGCGCAATAGGGCTCAGCAAAGCAATCTTGTCTGCCAGCAATTCCATCCCTGGTGAGAACTGCCTGACCCCTCCCCCTCCAGCCCTCACCCTGAAGCCAGTCCATTCAGTTTTCCCCAGGATGTCCCTGGTACTTTTCAAGAGGCTGACCTTGCACTGAAGCCCAGAGAAATGAGTCCATGAGTGAGCAAGTCCATGTGCAGGTCCCTCAAGGTGAACGCTTGAGACTCCAGTAGCCCCATCTCATTCAGATGCCTACTGGTTTTCATAGCAGAGGTCACGGGGAGTCCTCAGCCCAGTACTGGTGTCCATTTGTGACTTAAAGCCTATACCTCTTGTCAAAGCCCTTGCCCCACTTCAGTGCCAGCCACAAGACTATCTGATTCCGATGTGAGCTTTTTCAGTCACCTGACCCCACGTAGGCTCGGGGGGCAGGAGGAGGGAGTGGGGGGGGGGACGGTTTCCAGGTACAAGGTGTGACCATCAGGGGTGGGAAATGGAGCACTCATGGATGCCAGGAAAGCAAATAGGAAAACAGGCACTTACTTGACCCCGTAGGCAAATATGATAAGGCCGATGAGCACACCTGTGCTGCCATCCAGGTACCAGACCGCTGAGTTGTGCTTGAATACCTCCGCACTCAGAAGAATAGAGAAGCCCATCACGCCTCCCACGAGGGAATTAAATCCTGGGAAAGAAGCAGAGAGAGTCTGAGGACACTGCCACCAAGAAACTACCCAAGCACCAGCAAACTCCACATCCAAGCCTGCACTGCAGGGAGTGTTGCACAGAAGCACTCTCACAGGTGACAGCTGCCTACTGAGACCCCTGGGTGGCCTGTCAAGTCTGTTCCAATGTCACCAGAGACCTTGCTAAACAGAGCCATCACCCCCCACAGTCCATCTCCATCCCTGCCAGGCACTCATGCCCTCTTGACAGAGCCTGTGTGTGGTTACTATTGGTCTGTCTCCCACAAACTAGAATATCCAGACCCCATGAGGTCAGGACAATGCCTGGCACACAGGAGACATTCAAGTTCTGGGTGATTCAAATCTGTTGAATGTCTCCTGGGCCCAGTACCCAGTGGGGATCTTATCAGTCTGATTATTATCCCACTTTACTGATGACAGAACTAAAGTGAAGCAGAGTGAAGTTAAATAAATTGACTGAAGTATTGATAATACAGATTGAGAGGAGCAAGGCAAGCCTATATCCTTTCCTTCCAGAGTCTAAGTCACCTGAG